TATGCAAATCGATGGATTGATGTATAGCAAATTACCGATGTACATTTCACTGCATCGAATCATCATTTTTGCCACTGCCATCCCTAGTGAATGGTATGCAAAACTTCACAAAACCAACCATTTAAAGACCCTGGGTTCTCTAACAACTACTCTAAGGACATATGTATGGTATATGCTCACGTTATGGTGGTAAAGCTTTATAGCTTCCAGGCAGAGCTGTGAGAGCACTAAGGAAAGTACTTTATTTAAGCAAAGTTATGGAGCCTTGCCAGTGGGCCTTCCGATTCAGAAAATCCGTCATTGGCAATTCGAATGGATCAACGGTGCTTGGAAACTAAAGCGGCGGTTAGATAGTTATACAACTCCATGTCCAGATTTGTGATCGTCGCTGAACTTATTTAAATATGTAGAGTGGAGTAAAGCGAAGCGCAACCTTCAGCTCCGTCTGGGTTAAGCGAATGGTACAAACAAATCTTAGTCTTCATCTAACTGGACGAAGCAGCGTGTCTCAGGTTGAACTATCCGCTGAACTATCACGGACTAATTTAAAAGACCGCCTTCTCTTAAATCCCTGTGATCCTACGATACGACATTCCAGGAAAAAGAGTAAATATTCATTCTCGTTAGTAGGTAGACGAAGAGAATGAGAGTTAATTCCTATTTTCGTAAGTATTATTGTAAACGTTTACCAGAATCTTTAAGCTGGAACTCCACGTGAATCATCCAGCGCTTTTCGGGTTATCAAAGCTCTATTCAGCTATAAGTTTTATATGTAGGCGACTGAGAAGTTTAGTGTGGAGTGTTAACTTCAGAGTACGGGCCATCGAATTTAGCTTAACTTAACCTAATCTCCTTTTATAATAAAAAGTCATTACTTCACATTTGTAGTTTGCCTAAAATCTAAAGATAATTTTTTCTACAAATCATTACAGAGACAGCCATGGGTGTTTCCAAAAAAACTCAAGACAAATCCGGCTATGAATACGCCTTGGCCGTCATGAAGATGTGCGATATTCTACATTTACGTTCACGAAGTCTCTTCCTCCGCAATGAATTCATTTTTACGCTCTCCAGATATTATCAAGAGCAAGGCAAACTATTGAATATCATTCATGGCCTCACAACCAAAGTCATCAAATATAAAAAAGCCGCTTTTGATAATGGCACGCGTGGTTCATTGGCCCAACAGGAAATGGCTGCCAAAAAAATTACACCACCAGGCACACCTTCAACTGCTGCGCCAGCTGCAGCAAAAGAGAATGGAAAGCAAAAATCTGCAAAAGAAACATCCGTGGAGGGCTTGTCGTTTGGACAGTCAGAAGGTTTGAAGGATGATTTAGATGTCGAAGAGAATGACGTGGGCGAGAAGAAACGTTTAGCTTTTCTCGATTTGCTGCTTGAGAGCGCACAAAATGGCGCTCTACTAAATGATACCGAAATCAAAGAACAAGTAGATACGATTATGTTTGAGGGGCATGACACCACCGCGGCCGGTTCATCCTTCTTTCTATCACTGATGGGCATCCACCAGCAAATTCAAGATCGAGTTATAGCCGAATTGGATGAAATATTTGGTGACTCAGACAGGCCAGCCACATTTCAGGACACTTTGGAAATGAAATATATGGAGCGTTGTCTAATGGAGACGTTTCGCATGTATCCGCCAGTGCCATTGATAGCACGTGAGCTGCAGGAAGACTTAAGATTGGCATCTGGTCCTTATGTAATACCGCGTGGCGCTACCGTTACAGTAGCCACTGTCAAGTTACATCGCAATCCGAAAATCTACGCAAATCCAAATGTATTTGATCCCGATAACTTTTTGCCAGAACGCCAGGCCAACAGACATTACTACGCTTTTGTGCCGTTCTCAGCGGGACCACGGAGTTGTGTTGGTAAGCGAAAAATTATTACAGAATCAAAAACAACAGTTTGTAGTATTTTATTGAATATAACTGTTTTTTTTTATTTTAATTTTTTTCTCAGGCCGGAAATACGCAATGCTCAAGTTAAAAATACTTTTATCCACCATTCTTAGAAATTATCGTGTCTACTCAGATTTAACTGAGGCCGATTTTAAACTGCAAGCCGATATAATATTGAAACGCGAAGAAGGTTTTCGTGTACGCTTACAGCCGAGACAACCCAAACCGAAGCCGAAGACAACATAAAAGACTCAATCGTCTATATCTTTTATAATTCTGCTAGGTTTTGGATTTACATACATACAAATACATATACATACATACATGCATACAATATTTTTCCACATATTAGAAATTAAATGTTTCTTTTGTTGTGAAAATTAATAAAATCGCATTTAATTAGACAGGATAACTACAAATTTATTCATATTCAAATGGACCTTTACAATTAAGACAAGATTTTATCACCACTTAACAAGATTAGGTGCTCAAATCCACCACACAACCTCTTGTCAGCTCGATTACCTACGAAATTCACTAGAATATGTTAACATTTAAAATAAAAGCTGCTAAAAAGGTAAGTCAATGTAGACTTAGCTCATTAAAGTAAATACATAAAATTAAAAAAAAAAATTTTAATGATTATGTTTACCACATACAGCACAATCATTTATCGGTTTGCGTCGAGACCAAAAAGCTTTGTCACTTGCCTCTCTTCTTTTCGGATTTGCGTCTGTTGTTCATCCCAAGTGCGTACAGGTCCTTCTGCAGTTGGTCCTTCCATTGTGTTCGTGGGCGCCTCCCCAAAAAGTACTAGAGTCGGTCATACAGGCAGGTAGCATGCAGTCTTGCTCAAGGACTTACCAGAAAGAAACAAGTCTTCCTATGGCCTAGACTCACAGATATACAAAGTTCCTTACTGAAGAATATGGGTCTTTAAACGAGATAGCAGCTCAGCACCATAGAATTTCAATGGCCGGCGTTGAGGGCAATTGCAAAGATGACGACACGGTAGACATACCAGTGCCTACCTTTAAAGTGTTTGATGGAAATCAAACTACTCTGAAATCCAATGAACGCTGGAACGGCTTTCCTAACTGTGAAACCACCACGGTTGTTGCTGTCAATTTTAAATAGAGAAAAAATATCCTTTCTTATAACGACTGTTATGGGTCACTGGCTAATTGTATGTAAATGGAAGAAGAAGAAAATGCTATAAGTTGAAGAAGATTACGCACACTTGAGAACCCATCACATCAAGAGATCTCACAGATGGAAATAAAACCTTTAGCAAAATTACAACGTTAACAAATTGGTGGAACTGGATTGAGATTTTCATCATCGAAAGGGATTGGTATCTTTATTTGCTTATGTATTCCAGAGTGGAGCTTATTGCTGTAGCATCCGAGCAAGAACTGCTTGCTTAACTTCCTAGTACCCGCCGACCCCACAGACGCTGCTGAGTTTAGAACCAGTCGATCAATCGCCTTATACATATGTTGCCACCAATGTTTCTTTGTGTGCATGAAAAATGAGAGCAATCTGTCGAAGGAAACTCCTCTAAATATTTAGGTCGATATTGTAGTGTAATCATCCCGAATGCCTAAGTTCAACTTGACCATCTACGTTCAAGTAGTAAAAAGGGTTCACGATCCGAAACCAGTTATAGCATTCTCACCTTCGGCCATCGGAGTAACCGTCAATAAACTGGGTGAGTTTTTTGCTCAGCATATTGTCCTCAATCGCAGAACGTATTGCTAAGTATTTGCTTACATTGAGCAAATGGGACTGCAGATAACTTGTGGGACAGTTGACTGGTCGTTTCTACTTATATATGATTTGCCCTTACTGCCTTGACGAAGTTGAGACTGCGGAATATATTTTATGTCTCTGCCCTGCCTTTTCAAGTACTAGGTTGAAGGTTTTTGGCGATGTATGGAAATTTATTGAAATAAGACAAAGTAGTGACGCGAGTCTATTTTATGGCACAACCCATATTCTATACCTGATTTTGCCGTATTGATGTCATTGGGAATAAGGCTAACTCTCCCTCTCTGAGAGACGCCCTTTTGCATAAGGATTAACTGCTGTGCAAAATGAGGCTTACATAAGGCCTTATGATAACATATTATATCCCATTCGAAATGGGGTTTACAGTAGTCCTTATAAAAAGGCATCATACAGAATATTATTTATTACCTTATTCAAAATTGGGATTTCGTAATGCCATATATGTAATAAGAACTATTATAGACTACCATTACCTTATTACAAATGTATTAGCCTTGTCGTCCATTGCAGCAGCAGCGCTACCGGCGATTAACATATTTCTGCTTATGCTATTTGTTGGTGGGTCAACGTCAACCCTCACTAGTTTTCACTGAACTCAGTTAACTCGCTACTTCGCAGCTTGCTATATTTGAGTTCCGGTCGCTTAACGAAAAATTTTGTATGTGAAAGCAACAACAAAGTTAGCTAGCAAGGATGAACGATAGCGAGTTTGGTTGTACCTCATTGAGTTCGTTCGTTTCGCCATTCGCAAACTGTTGGCGAATCGATCACTGCTTGAATTGAATGTCGACTATTCAGGATAACCTCTAACATATTAACATTTTAATTAAACTCTTTTTCCGAGTAGCTTTAAATCAAAACGGAGTTTTATTTATAAGTGAAGGCGCGAAAACCAGGAAACGACTAACAATCCGGAAACTTGTTTTAATCTGTCAAACGTACGCATGAGAACAGAGAAAGTAAAAGAAGCTATGAGAACAGAAAATCAGCCTACCAGTCTGTTCCGCCACAACAAAGTGTAAATGGTATTTAAACCGTAATTAATTATTAAAACTAGCATGGAAAGTACAAAGCTTTATTTATAAATTTTTGATTGTTACTTTTTCGTTAAAAAATTGTTAAGAAAATTGAATTTAAAAGTGTATCAGCTCAAGGCAAACTACAGCATTGTAGGAAATATGGCAACTTTCGAAGCTGAGAACAGATATCAGCTGTTCGCCCGGCTGCTGATAAATAGAACAGAGCTAAATGACAACGAAAGTGGAAGCAAAGCAGAAGCTAAAAAGTAAACAATTCAATAATTTACAATTTGATTATAAATAAGTAGATTTTGTCAATTTTTTAAGGTTCCAATGCTTTAAATTTTACATTGGTACAGTTAGTGGAATGCAGAAAAGTTATAAAGATTGTGCTTGAGAAATAAAGGTGCATTTATTTGTTTGGCATTAGAAAATTAAACTTTCAAAGCAACAAGCATGAAAGCATGTACATATGTACCTAATTAGCTTTAAAAGAAATAAACAGCTTTGTTTTAACTTGTTCGCAATCGACCGCATATAACTTTAACGTTACTGTCTGGCTCAGCTAAAGGGAGGCACAGGAAGTGCGCAACTGTCTGTCCATAGAGAAAGGGGCGTTAAGTAGCTGGGTGGGATTTTGGGGACATGCGAAGAGGTGCCGTAAGTCATGTGGCGACTCTCCGCACGCCAGGCACTTCTTGGGCACATCTTTATTCATTGCTGAATATCTAGAGCAAAATTGGGCTATCGTGGTGCGAGTCTCCCGAGGAAGACAAAGTTCCGCCCCGTCCATGTCGGGTGGTTGTGTGTCCAAAACAGCATTCACAGGTGAGGGGGTCTATGTAACTGGAGACCGACTCCCTGTGAATGCCGTTTAAGGCCTCTCGATATGCGTTGGCGAAGGCTCTTCTGCAAAAAGTTGTCTGTTCGGCTGCCCGCGGCTGCCCTATTAGGAACTGTTTGCAGAGCATTGTGTTATGCTTCTTAATGGGGAGCATCTGCGCCTTGTCGTACAGGTGTTGAGGCGAAACCAGAAGGGATTCAGTCGCGGCCCGGAGTGCCGTGTTGTGGCAATTATGTTGTTGTTGTTGTTGTAGCGGCTACCTAAACGGGGTTAGATCGCCGAAACAACAGCCCTTGGTCGGGTGAAACCCGAGTCATTCCGGTACGTAGAACCGGCTGTCGTGGGAATGGTGGCAATTCTGTAGTTTCGTCCACTGCGTCCTGCTAGTCCCCGGCGACCACACGGGCGCTGCATAATAAAGACCCGGCGGGCCAATTGTAACTCCAAGGATTTTCGGGTTATTCACCATCGGACCTCCTTTGCATGTACCTAATAGTTATATCAGCTGAATATCCAATTGATTTTGTTATTTAACTCCTAGCTAAGTTTATCGGAGAAAGTTTTAGTAAATTTATGAACCATCCCGAGCATGTATAATTAATAAAACAAATATGCAGTTTAAAAGGTACTTATTTTTTTTTTTGTATTGTGCATACATACATGCATATCGCGCACATTCTTCAAAAGCTTATCAATTCAAAATTTGGTTTAATTTTATTCAGAAAAATGTAATTTTTAGCCCATAATATCAAAAATCGCATATTGAACTAATACACAATGCAAAATGTGTTTGAAGTACAGAGTATGTACACTTACATATGTATGTACATATATATGTGTGTACATATGTATAAATTTGCACAAGTACATATATTTATGCATAGATTTTTATTAATTAAAAAAATCTTGTGTTTGGCTCGGATCAAATAATTCAATTGAATTCAGTATGTTTCAAACTATGATCCCATATCAGTTTACATAACATTTAATATGAAATTTTAATAATTCTAAAGTGCCTACTTAAAACTTTTTAGCTGGAAGTTTCAATTATCTGGTAGCGCTGCTATTTGATCATTCGGCGAGGTGAATAAGTAATACAGNTATTTATGAACCATCCCGAGCATGCATAATTAATAAAACAAATATGCAGTTGAAAAGGTACTTATTTTTTTTTTGTATTGTGCATATATACATGCATATCGCGCACATTCTTCAAAAGCTTATCAATTCAAAATTTGGTTTAATTTTATTCAGAAAAATGTAATTTTTAGCCCATAATATCAAAAATCGCATATTGAACTAATACACAATGCAAAATGTGTTTGAAGTACAGAGTATGTACACATACATATGTATGTACATAAATATGTGTGTACATATGTATAAATTTGCACAAATACATATATTTATGCATAGATTTTTATTAATTAAAAAAATCTTGTGTTTGGCTCGGATCAAATAATTCAATTGAATTCAGTATGTTTCAAACTATGATCCCATATCAGTTTACATAACATTTAATATGAAATTTTAATAATTCTAAAGTGCCTACTTAAAACTTTTTAGCTGGAAGTTTCAATTATCTGGTAGCGCTGCTATTTGATCATTCGGCGAGGTGAATAAGTAATACAGACTCTTTTCATTAACTGGTTCTCCCTTAGTAAGGCACTAAGTAACAAAGTTAGCTTTCTTGTGATAATTAATAAATATCTATTTAGAAGTGAAGTATGACTTTCTCCGGCAAGGTTGTAATTGTAACCGGCGCTAGTTCGGGTATTGGTGCTGCTACCACCGAGCTCTTTGCAAAACAAGACGCCAAAGTGGTGCTGGTCGGACGTAATGAGGCAAATCTAAAAGCAACTGAGGCGGCATGCAAGGCAGCGAACAGCAGTGCTGAATTGCTAATTATTAAGGCAGACATAACGTTGGAGGCAGATCGCATTATTAATACAGCCATTGAGAAATTCGGTAAATTGGATGTTTTAGTTAATAATGCTGGTATACTAGCTGGTGGAAATATACTTGATATCGATGTGGAGCAATTCGATCAGATACTCAACACAAATTTACGTGCGGTTTTCGTATTAACTAAACTCGCCGCCCCACATTTGGTGAAAAGCAAAGGCAACATTGTAAACGTATCCAGCTTGGCTGGCACACGCTCATTTCCGAATAGCTCAAGCTATTGCGTCTCTAAAGCTGGATTGGACCAATTTACCAAGTGTATAGCTTTGGATTTGGCACCAAAAGAGGTACGAGTGAACTCTGTAAATCCCGGTTTGATTGTGACCAACATTCACCGTCGTGGCGGCATGTCTGATGAGGCATATGCCAAGCATCTGGAACGTGGTAAAGAGACACATGCTTTAGGACGTGTTGGTAATCCAATGGAGGTGGCTGAAGCGATTGCTTTTCTAGCCAGTGATGCTGCCAGCTTCATCACGGGTGCAATATTGCCCATCGATGGCGGTAGGCATGCTATGTGTCCGCGTTAAATTAAGTTTTCTTGAAGGTTGCGAATATGCATTTACAGGTTATACTAAAAAAATTAAATAACATACTTATGTATGTATGTATCAAAGAAATATCACTAACCCAGTAGGCAAATAAGTAAGCACCTTAGGAGATAATCCATGTCTTCTTTAAGCTTTTAGTACCAAAATTGTCGAGTGGGAAAATGTTATGTGGTCTGTGGTGGCTGTGGTATGTTGTTGTGTTGTGGCGACTGTGTGTGGTTGCTGTGTGAGTGTGTGGGGCTGCACGGGCGGACTATGGGTTGCCGTGGAGGCTGCTCTATTTGAGCAACAGGGGGCCACGTACGACGTGGTCCACTGTCTGTGTGTCCGTAGTCCCGAGCAGACCCTGAGGTGACTCCACCCCTCGCAGGCATTACACTTGACTGAGGTGGAGTTGTGGTGTAAACGTCTTCGGCATACACAGCAGGTGTATATTTCTGGCCCAGGGTTTGACTCGATGCCAGCCCTGAGTAGGAGAATGCGTAGTGAATGTTGCCCTATGGACGGACAACTTCTGAGATACTTCGCCGACCTAAACGGGGTTANTTCCTAGGGTTGCCGTTAGTGGAACTTGACGGCAACGACTGAGATACCAACCGATCTGGGCGGGGTTGTTGTAGCCGCTACAACAACAACAACAGTGGGAAAATGTGAAATTAAATATAAATAGTTTATCTACAATTAAATTAAATAAAAGCATATCGTGCGGGCGTTAATGTTAACGACATTTGGTAAAAATTCAAGGCAATATAGTTAAGGTCGCTGATATACACACGTACTCCTTCAGGTATATCGCTCTATATTGCTGATCAGAGGCAGCTTTAGATTAGTCAACAAGATACCTAGATTATTGTCTCGAGGTTCCTGAACAGGGTCAACGTGTCGAATTTCAACTTTTCAGTACGCACATTTGGCAGTTATACAATAAGTTAAATTCAACAAGTAAAAAGTCTTTTTAAGTTCGGGCGAAGCCGAACATTAAATACGTGGTGCATGTAATCTTATTTCTTTTAAGGCATTTTTGGTATCAACTTTGAGTAAATTAGAGTCCTTAAATTTCGAAATATCGAAGTTTCAGCATTTCTGAAATTTACCGTTATGTGAAAAGTGGGCGTTATTTTAGTCCCATTTCAAAAATTTTCAACGTCTTGCTTTTGTATGGCAAGTACAATAATTAGACCGACTTTGGTACAAATTGATGGAACGGTTACCGAGATACACATATGTGGTCATTAGTGGGCGGTGCCCTGCCCATTTTCCAAAAATTTTTTACAGAGGTATTTCCTGCTAAAGCACTACTGCAAACATTAATTTTGATTTCAGTATTTACTGATTTATCAAAGATTTCCTATTTCTTTAAATTACCGTTACATGCGATGTGGCCGTGATTATTTTCCGATTTCAAACATTTTCAGCCGTTTTATATTTTTTAACAGGACCCATAACTGTGCCCAATTTAGGAGGAATTGGTGAAGCGGTTACCGAGATATACACATCTAAACACATCGTTCGTTTGCCATTTTTCTTGTAAAATTTCTATGAACTTTTAGTTTAAAGTAGAATTTAACTTTTTAAGCATATTTATATATATTTATATTATCAGTAGGATTTCATTTAGCTTATTAATTGAATTCCTAACTGGTGTTAACCCTCTTCAAAAATATTTTCAGAATAGATACAGCTTTTGTTACAACGTCTCTCATTTGATGCCAACATTAAAATATTTTATTTAAGCTTAGAATCCAGCTCTCAAGAAAAGTCACAAGAAATATTTTTCATTATTTCTGTTACACATTGCTTTTGCTGTAAACTTTCTTAAAAAATTATATATACGAGGATTTTTTTCTTGGAAGCTGCAGACTTTTGATAGAAGAAAATTTTTTTTCCATTTCTTGTGCGCCATTTTATATGAATTGTTCGTTTTTCTTGAGAGTTGCAAACAGCCTTTAACCTTAAAAATATATATATATAGAAAAAAAATGTATATATATATATATGTATGTGTATAAAAGGAAATGAAAGTAAAGGCTGCTTCTAACTGCATCCTTTAACACAAAAACTCCAAGGTATAATAAAAATTGCCTAAATTCGGTTGACTTCCAATTGCTAATTTCATTTAAATCCCTGCACACTCGACCGAATTCTGAAAAAAAATTAATTTTAGCGTTCATTTTTCATCAGCAAGTGGATCAATTTTTTGGACACACCGAGGTCGACAAGATGCATAGAATCCAAGCGAAACTGCGACACCATTTTGAAATCAGCTTTCTCTAAAACACTTTCACAAGTTCTAATTGCAAAATTATGATGTACTGGTTCAGCTCTAATTTTAAAACTTAAATCTGATCGAATATCATGAATTGTTTTTGAAAAGCAAACTCTTCTATTAACATAGCTTCCAACTTGATTACATTTTGAGCAGCTATTTTTTGCGTTAAGTGATAATAAATGCACGTGCAGGTGAATCACAACAAAATAAACGAATATCAATTTTTTTCTTAATTGGTGATGAATCTACTTGAAGTCCATGCTTAAAAAAAAAATGACTATCACACAAATCCTTCAAGAAATCGCTGAAGTTCCACGGTTTTCCGTTCCAGCAAAGGAAGCAATTGTAAACGGAGGTTCATTTGGAAAGCCAACGATTGCTCCAAGGATCGGCCATAACACTTTTTTTTTGAGCTTTTGAACAATTTAAGGCCGTCAATTCCTATGTCGAGATTAATTTCATGTTTATCATGGAGAAAAGGGAAATATCTGGTTTCAAAATGGTGCTGACCACAACTTTTTTCCTACTTGTGCCAAAAAGGCTTTTTGCCGACAAAGCAAATCTTCAACTCCAATTTTTCTAAGACTTTGAAGCAGATCAGGGACAGAGTTGTGCGACGTCCTGTTTCTTCTTGCCCACAACTTTAAATGAAGAGCTTTACTAGAATTGTCTAATTCTATTGCACCATCATTTTCCAGGATCTCCATGCTTTCATCACTGATGAGCACCGACTCATCAGAGCAGTCCAAACTGCTGCCTTCTTGCACAGCCGCACTGTCACATATGTACCACATCTTCACTGATACCGCATGTCTTTGCGAATTTCGTAACACTTGAATGCCACTCTTTTGTTTTTCGTTGCTCCTCAAATTAGAAAAGGTCTTTTTATTCATTATCAAGGTAATATAATTTTAACTATTTAATTAAAACGACAATGAAAATTTTATACCTAGGAACAGATATTAGCTTACCGCTCTGTTTTTTGCTTTTTTCTTTTTTATTTCCACTATTTGTGCACGGCCAATTTGCACTTTTTAGTTGTCTGCTTTAAGTTTTGAGATCCGCAGTTATAAATATTGCCGTTTTAAATTTAAATTATTAAAATTCAATTCGCATAAAAACCCACGCGCGCAAACAAATTAAAAATTTATTTTTGTTTGACGTTTAGCACCCGGGCGACTTTGCTTTGCAAACAAGGGATGTTAATTGTTCAGCCTTTTCCTATCCCGGGATTTCCTCTTTGATACGCATATATCTTCTCCAAGAACATTTCTCTGAATTTTTTTAAATCATTTTTGAGTTACTGCCGTCAGAGTGAAAAACTAAAAACGCAATTTTACAATATATTTGGCCCTTGGTTTCGCGAATATATTGATATTTGTGTTCAAAATTAACTATCGCGTGGTATTATATGTATAGTGAGTTAGACATTTATAAAAAGATATTTATTATTAAATAAAAAAGCTAATACTGGTCAAGAAAAGGCGTTTCTATTATCGCCTTCAGTGCAATTTAAAAGTCCCGCGATTATTTTCCAAGAATCCCGGGCTTTTTGGGACCTTAAAAAGGCCGGGATGCCGGGATGCCGGAATCCCGGGACTAACATTCCTAGTGGAAACCCCTTTTTATTTTGGTGTGGTAGAATCGGCAAACAAATGTAATAGATTTGAATAAGATGTGGTAGATTTTCCAATTCATATCGACCCCTTTGTGCAAAATTATGTATGTATGGTGTGTTACAAAAACCAAATTTTACAGGAAAGTTTTTTTTTTTTGTATTTTTCTCTGCTTTGGCTAGCGCCATTCCCAGCAAAAAAAAAACTATTACCACAGAAACGAAAGTGGAAACGAGCTAGGCGATGGGAATCGCCTATCCTTTCGCTTCAAGAAGACATTATTTTAACATGGGCAGGTCATTAGCCGTAAGCCCTAACCTGCAGCATTACCTTCGAACGAACGGAGAACGCATGGATAAAGAGAATCCAGAGAAGCGAACAAAGAATGCCTTAGAGAGAAACTAATGTAGAATGCCTGGATAAGTGTATACTTATTTATATTAAATTAAAAACAGAAAATACAGATTGTCCTAAAAGATTAAAATTAATTAAAATTTTTATACATACATGCATATGTATGTATTTAGGTATTTAGATTTTACTTAAAAATCGGAATGTACATACATACATGCATATTTAAGTAAGCTTAAAATTGTACTTCCTCACTCTCGTACTTCACTTCATTGACTGACTTCAACTTCGCTGCAAATTAAACAAAGCAAAACATAATTTTTATGCGAGACAAATTTCCACAGAAAGTAACGGTAGAAAAAGAATTTTTGGATATTCATTCTACTTTTCAGCTGACTACGATACTGCATCATTCCACTTTGCATTCCCTGAAATGAATCAGAGAAGCGAAACAAATAAAATATTGTAGAACATTCTACTTTGTATTCCCTGAAATGCCTAAAAGAAGCGAAAAAATTCGAAGGCATTATAACGCTATGCCTTCTAGAGCACGTTAACACTAAAAGCGCTTATCGATTTTTTGCTGAATTAATACCAAAGTTTAGATTTGCTGATATAATTGAGAAATATAACTAAACGCAAGTGAGGACCGGGAGGCGAGCAGTATCTTTAATCGAGGTCCTGTAAACGTATTCAGACATGGATCGAAGCTGAATGGGAGGGTAGGTAGAGGTATCTTCTGCGAAGAACTGTCCATTAACCTGAAATTTAGGCTACCGGATCACTGTAGCGTTCTCCAAGCAGAGGTAGCCGCAACATAGGCTTCGCATTGGTTGCTCTCTAAAGGTAACACCTTTGAAGGAGGTTATCATCTATTCCGATAGCCAAGCAGCTATCAAAGCTGTAAGAACGGAGAAGAATTGTCTCACTTCCTTATCGACCACATCGGATTACCACGCTATTATGCTCATATGGGTTCCGGGTCACGGCGAAATCGCTGGAAATTGTTTGACTGTTGAGCTGGCAAGGAGGAGCTCTGGAGAAAGTGCTGCCGGGTAGAGAAAGTCTGGGGCCCCTCTGACCTCGTGTGGACTACTCCTGGAGATGGATGGGTGTTAGATGAGCTCAGCATGCGCTGTGGAAAGAGCTTAGAATCTTGAGACTTCGCAAGTTACACCTCTCGCTATTTGTGGGAGTCCTAACTGGTCATTGCGTGATAGGTAAGCATGCGGAAAGACTGAATATCATCGATGACTCTTACTGCACCAGCTGCATTGCGATTGATGAGGTGAAATCACCCCAGCACCTGCTGTTCTGGTGCTCTGCCTTTGCAAGCCTAAGGTTCAAGCACCTTGGGTCGCACTTTTTCCACACTGACGATTAGCTTTCAGGAATGGATATCGGTCGCTTGAGGAGCTTCGGAGTTTGCACGGACCTTTTATACAAGATTTTATTTACTTCTTATAAAAATCCTAGGTGTCATCGCTCTGTTCCCGCGTACGCGGCCCTCTAACCTAACTTAACCTAAGTTAGATTCACTGAAGAGGGGTTTCCTTGGATTGCTATCTAGTTTTTGAACAGGTGGAGTATCTGCCTGTCTAAAACTCCGATAGGTTAATAGGAAAGCTGGCGTTAAATTTCCCACCGGGCATGTTGATACGAATAATACCTAGACATGCACATATCGATGGCTGAGTGGAAGATCGACCTATCTCGGCAGCTAGTTCGAAAACTCCCTATTTCAGAAAATTTTTCAACTTTTCAAGAACGCCTACTTCAGAAAAACGCGTTATCTCAGAATTTGGTTAAAGAATGCCCTATCTCAGCTGCCGATTCATAAACGCCCTATCTCAGATTATTTTCGATGTATTTTCATTTGAGATAGGGCGTTATTCAACCAAATTCTTAGATATGGCGTTTTTCAATAAAATTCTGAAGTAGGGCGTTCTTGAAAAATTTTCTGAGATAGGGCGTCCTCGCACTGGCTGCCGATACAGGTCGATCTTCCACTCAGTCATCGATATAATCATTCATAGTTAGTGCTTGTCTAATCTAATGAACATATACCCCAGCCGAAAATAGAGTGGCTGGAACTCAAATGCTAAGTCTGTGAAGGTATGTATGTATGTACAGATGCGTTCAACTAATTAACAACGAAATTCAAAATGATATTGTTTGCAAATTATGTATACATTTTTTTTTTTTTTTTTTAATAATTTTCATTTAAAATATAATTCAATCTATAACAGAAAGCACAATAAAAAGTTTAAAAGCTTGCACAAATTGCAAAATTAATCAACCTTAAAAAAATTGACTTCAAAAATTCAAAATATTTAATTAGAATGTTTAGTAAATTTTCGAGTATGCAGTTTTGTAGCCCATTCAATTGAAGTATAAAAAAGTGCAAGTTTCTAATCTTTAAAAATTACCGTTGATTCTTAAGATTTTTTTTTTTTGTGGAGGGTGTTGCGCATTTTCTTCCATATAACACATGACAAAATTTTTTTTTTTTTTTATATGAAAATAACAGCAACATCCTCCATAAAAAATCTTCTAAAAAATCAACGGTAACTTTTAACGACTTGAAACTTGCACTTTTTTATACTACAATTGAATGGGCTACAAAACTGCATACCTGTAAATTTTCTAAATATTCTAATGAAAATTTTTTTAATTTTGATGACAATTTTTGAAGTTTGATGAATTTTTTTGCAATTTGTGCAAGCTTTTAAACTTTTATTATTGAGGTTTCTGTTGTAGATTGAATTATATTTTAAATGAAAATTATTAAAAATAAATAAATAAACATAATTTGCAAACAATATCATTTTGAATTTCGTTGCCAATTAGTTGAAAGCATCTGTACATACATACATACCTTCACAGACTTCACAGATCAGGTATTGGAGCTACCACTGCAGAAGCTTTTGCCCAGCACGGCGCCAAGGTTGCAATTGTCGGACGAAATGAAGCTAACTTAAAAGGTACTGAAGCTGCCTGCAAAGCAGTCAATAGCCGAGCCGAAATATTGCCTATCCTTGCTGACGTAACAACAGATGCCGAACGTATTATAAACGAAACTGTGGTGAAATTCGGAAAACTGGATGTGCTGGTGAACAATGCCGGCATATTTGCAACTGGCAATATTTTAAACATTGAAGTTGACCAATTTGACCAAATTTTAAATACTAACTTGCGTTCGGTATTCCTTTTGACCAAATTCGCTGCCCCACATCTGGTGAAAACTCAGGGAAATATTGTAAATGTTTCCAGTGTCGCTGGTCTGCGTTCATTTGCGGATGTCTCCCGCTACTGTACCTCTAAGGCAGCTCTTGATCAGTTTACCAGATGTATTGCTCTGGACTTGCCAGCACATAATGTACGCGTGAACGCGGTTAATCCTGGTGTTATAGTCACAGATAGTTCCATACGTGCCGGCATGTCGAAGGAGGAATATGAAAAATATTTGGAACATTGTAAGGAAACGCATGCACTAGGCCGCGTTGGCTCCACTAAAGAAGTAGCCGATGCTATCATTTTTCTAGCTGCTGATACCGCCAGTTTTATAACAGGCACAACTTTGCCCATCGATGGCGGTAAACATGCTATGTGTCCGCGTTAAAAAGGAACTTAATGTTTAGTTAGATGACAACAATAAAAAATTAATAATTTGATTACAAGTAATTTTAAAAATGTGAAACTATTTAATGTCAGGATTGTGTAAATGTGTATTTGAACAACAAAAATAAATAATATATTTCTCATTATATAACAAACACGATATTAATCCGCATTTCAAACTTTGTGCAAATATTAGAAAACAGCAAATTTTTACTGTACAGTTTTATGGCCCATTGAATTTTAGTGTACATATCGAGCCCTAACCGCCAAAAAAACATAAGCGACATGTTTTTCAAAATTTTCTTTTTGATGCAGAAATATTCCTAGAGCATCTAGATGCATTTCTTCATCAAAAAAAAAAAAATTTTGAAAAAAATATTGCTTATGTTATGTTGTCGGTTAGAGCTCGATATGTACGAGCGCAATTTGAAAAGTCAGCGAATTTTGAATAAGTGACAATATTTTTTGGCAAAAAAAAAGTTTCATTTCTCAACATTGTTAGTCTCCTTTTAGCTCGATACATTTAGTCACGCGGTTTTTCAATTCCTCCCAAATAATAGGGTTTTTAAGGTTCTCAAAATAAGCGTTCGTTTCAGTTTTGGCTACTTCATGTTACCCAAACCACTTACCGCCCAGCCATTTCTTTGGTTTTGGAAGCAGGAAATAAGTAGTAACTGGCAGCTAAATCTGATGAATATGGTGGATGGGGTAGGGGTTTGTAGCCCAAATGATGGATTTTTTCTATGATGACTACAGACGTGTGCATCCGTGCATTGCCTCGGTAGAACAGCACTTGGCCAAATGTGGTCGTTTTTGCTTCAAATCAATATCGCATCTGTCCAAAATCTGTATAATATTCGTCAGTGATCGTCTCGCCCTTTTCATGGTAATCGACCGCGTGCATCCCAAAAAAAAACCATGGCCATGACCTTATTGGCGGACAGACCCACTTTGGCCTTCTTTGGTGCACTTTTTAGGTTAGGTTTGGTTATCTTGGCGACCCGCTTCCCGCACAGGAAAAGGGCACACTCAGGTCGCGATGAGTCTATTTTGATTCCATATTAAAGACTCCTCGTCCCTCCTCTTAACTTAGAAATGGAACCAATTTCTAGCACTGATGAAGCGTACAAAATCGTAGGTACTGACTAAATGCAGCAGGACATTCAAATCATCAGTGAAGGAACGAAGGTGGCCTAGGTAAGGTCCACGCTTCCGATTTCCTCCTTATCGCGGCAGCTACGACAGTAATCGTTTGACTGCAAACCCATTGTAAGATCGTGGGTTCTCATCTGGCACTGCCCGGTGTGGACTCTAATTACATGTCGGGGCAGAGATATTGCACTTTTCATTGATTTGGAACCACTGTGCGACAATTCGTCTCAGCAGAAATTGTCATATCATTTGCTACAAATCCCAGGAAAACTCATAATAATCCTACTATATTTGTATATGAAAGGGCCAATTGTGGCCACTTGAGTTTTTACTCGATTAAATCAAATTTAATTTCGTAAGAATGCGTAAGTAATGTAATAAGTTCTGACTAAATTTCAAGTGTGTACGCTATTGTTAGAGGGTAAACAAATCTCGATTACGATTTGTTTAATGGTTTATTCTAATCTAATATTAGTTGATATGTTACTTATTTTATTTTATTTTTTTCCGATATTCAGCACATACACATATATGGGTGTTTCCATGATGTCGGATGGGATATTCGTACGACTTCATAGTTAAATAAATCTTACGAAAACGGAAGTCACTTATAAAAAAATGTGCCGTTGAGTAGCTTTTACACCGCCCTTTGGTTGACATAAGAGTAAAACTCTGCGAATCCTATACGGGTTTCCTTTCTTAAACATTCTTTAAATAAATTCAAATTACGGACCATTGCAACCAATTCATTTTTAATTAGAAGCAATTCGTTGTTGGTTTCAGTTCGGATTAAAATGCCCGATTGTCTTAAGAAATCCTACAGTTGTATGCATAGTGCCCTAGACCACCCGTCCTCCTCTAAAATGGACAGAAATGTTTTCGGTTTCAACCGGAAGTGGGTTCAACTCACCGGAAATCCATTTTTTTTTAATTATATATACATGTTTTAACTACAGATTCGGATTCTAAAGATAAAAATACGTAACTTTTGTTTGAAATGACCTTGGAACTTCAACTCGCCCTGGACGTCTAAAATGGACGGCAATGTTTTTATTGGAAAACGAAAAACTATGAATCACCAAGTCGGGGGTTTCGACCGGAAGTTGGTTAAACTGACCGGAAGTCCATTCCAGAAAATGGTTTTGTCCGCAGAATCTGAATCTGTAGTAGGGCATGTAAATCCCATTTAAAAAATGGACTTCCGGTCAGTTTAACCAACTTCCGATCAAAACCCGAAGCCGCTAAGTAATACGACCAAAATATAGAGCATCCCCGACTTGGTAGTTCATATTTTAGCGTTTTCCAATTAAAAACATATTTCTCCATTTTAGAATTGGTAGACGGGTGGTCAAAGACACTCTGTATAGTAACAGCTGGAGCAGATATAGAGCTCTTGCTGTTGCTATTCTTGGGTGCTGATTTGCTGAAAGTAAAGGATTTGTTGAAACTAAACAATTCACATGACGGCCGCTTTGGCTAAGTGGTTAGAAGTGCGTACTACCAATATGTAGGATCTGGGTTCGATCCCTGATCTGAGCAATATCTAAATACGAAAAAGTTTTTTCTATCAGTGTTTGTCTCTCGCCAGGAAATGGCTAACCTCCGAGTGTATTTTTGCTATGAAAAAACTTCTCCGGATCGTCTCCCTTAGCTATTAAATACATTAGTTGCGTTTTTTTACTCATTTCCAGTAAAATCCAGTAAAAGTTTTTACGAATTTTCATGTTTTGGCGTTTTCGTACGCAAAAACTTGCAAAGTAGGGGAAATTGAGAGAGCGAAAAATGACAGCTGAAGTTGCAAGTTTTTACTGGATTTTACTGGATAAATTTTTACTTGTAAGAATTTGCCAGTACGAAAAACAGCTGATCGCATGTTGCTGGATGAAATTTAAACTAATAAGGAAACTGTTTGTGGCTTTTTATTGTTGAATTTCACAAAATAAACCTATTTAAATACAAAATATATTGTTTTATAAGGAATTTGCTGCGAATAAACAACCAATTTATCAGCTGTTCATGAAACTTGCAAATTATTACTGGAAAAGCGTTCGCGTACTTTTTTGCAAATTTTTTCTATGAGAGCGAATTCTTAGAAATAAAGTTACTGGAGAGTTACTGGCAAGTTACTGGATAATTTGTAAAAAAACACAACTATTGTTGCACATTTGTTTGCAGACTATCGTTGAATTTGAATGTTTATATTAACGAATAGTGTACAACATAAATATTTTCTTTTTCTCCGTAGTATGGAACTCACAAATTAGAGACTCACATGCTGCTCTTCTAAATTTTATTTATCGTTCAGCAACAGTGTTACATATATGCATTGCGAATACTCATATATGCAAAAAATAGAACGAATGATCAATCTCTCAAACCTATTTATAGCTTCATACAATTGCCGGCACTACTTTAGTTCATTCTTCGCCGTCAAATAGAATACATATATCGAGATGAGTTTGGTCGGCAAGGTAGTAATTGTGACTGGAGCAAGTTCAGGTATAGGTGCTGCCATAGCAGAAGCCTTTGCCAAGAGTGGAGCCAGAGTAGCGCTCATCGGACGAAATGAAACCAATTTGAAGGCCACTGAAGCGGCTTGCAAAGCAGCCAACAGCAATGCCGAACTATTGCTTATCACAGCTGATGTAACGGTGGATGCTGAGCGCATAATAAATGAAACAGTGCAAAAATTCGGGCAGCTGGATGTGTTGGTGAACAATGCTGGCATACTGGCTTATGGAAATATTTTGGACATTAGTGTGGAGCAATTTGACAGCATTTTAAATACAAATTTGCGTGCCGTTTTCCTTTTGACCAAATTCGCCGCGCCACATTTGGTAAAAACACAGGGCAACATCGTTAATGTATCCAGTGTCGCAGGTCTGCGTTCTTTCCCAAATACATCCGTCTATTGCACATCCAAGGCAGCCCTCGATCAATTCACTAGGTGCATTGCCTTGGATTTGGCACCGAAACAAGTACGCGTGAATGCTGTGAATCCAGGTGTAATTACGACAGAAATTTTTACACGTAGTGGCATGTCAGCTGAGGAATATGCTGCATTTTTGCAACAGGGTAAAGAATCGCATGCACTGGGCCGTGTTGGAGCTCCAAAAGAAGTGGCTGATGCTGTTATTTTCCTAGCTGCCGATACCGCCAGCTTTATAACGGGAGCAACTTTACCAATCGATGGTGGAAAGCATGCAATGTGTCCACGTTAATGGAGAATGGAATGGATATATTTTTTGTTAGATGCTATTATAAATTGAAGTCCTAATACGAGTTCATACTACACATAGTATCCATCCATAAGTGCATCCATAAGTGTAATTTAACAAAATTTCAAATGCACCGCAAACCTTATAAAATAAAATACTATGTTTACAAATAAAGCGAATATTTACATACATATATCTTCCATGAAATTATTTTCGCACATCTGTATGGGTGGGTGGTTGAGTGAGTGCCTCTGCCGCTTAACTAAAGGGTGATTCAATAAGACCGGAAATTCTCTTTTTTTCTGTTTTTTTTATGGAAAAAGGCATGATACAAAAAACAAGGTAGTTCCATTGTCACTTTTTCGTCGCCATATTAACAACCTGACAATTAAGCAGATTGTGACATTTCGTGCTACCATACCCAATATCTAAAATCCTTCAAATTTTCTTATTAATTTTTTGTCTTACATGTACATTTTAAATTGTGTGAAAGCTGACAGTTTATAGAATTCAGTAGCGACGAAAACAAAGGGGGGTTAAGTGGTTAAACCTTACCCAAGCCGATCATAAAACTTGCGACGCAATTTCAGCTTATGCCTATGGGTCTTGGCGAGAATGTAATCCCTGAAGGTTTAGCTTAAAATGGTTCTCGGGATACACCCTGTGATCATGTTACTTTCCAGAAGATGTCGCGCCCGTTTTCCTGTACATATTTCCGTTGGAAAAATAAATGCTTCCAGAGGTATCTATGCGTCACAAGAATTTTAGTTTATTTGGTTTATACCGCTAGCTCTCAATGGCTTCGAGATCGTTTTCATATCCTATTCCAAGTTCTACGGTGGCACGCCGCATTTTCCAATAAATCCATGCATATATCCATACAAAGTTCCAGGACTCTACCACAAATAATTCCAGAGATATGCACTATGAAAAATTCGATTTGTATGGGAGGTTCCACACGCCCTTTAGATATCGGGTTTGTTTTAGCCTATAACCATTCTTGGAAAATTTGTGTCCGAAATTTCCAAAAAATCGGTACAGCCGGTATGAGCATTGCGACTCCTCAAGCGAAATTAACTAATGATTGCAAAAAATTAAATCAAACATCATAGTTGACCCAAAAAGAATATTAGACTTCATTCTCTCAACTTCTCAGAATGTAGAAAACTAAGAAATATATAATAAGATAGGATATATTAAAACAGCCTCCAAACATTTACTAAAGACGCCCCTGGACTACACAAATCAGTTTGATTGAAAATTTATTTGTATCTATTTATTTTATACTTCAATTTTGGGTGTGTCAAAATTTCTTGTGAAAACAATATGTGTTGCTGGAAAAATTTTACGGCCCATGGGTCCTAAAGCAAATTCCTTTTGCTGTTAAATGGACAAAGACAATATGTATTAAACAACACATCGAAATGTGTAATTTCAGTGTCTGAATTACATCAGAATCATCGTATCCGATATAGAAAACTACATTGTGACATAATGAGATAACATGAGGACACTAAAAAAATTGTAAAATATGTTCACTAAAATTGTATTAATATTAAAATAATGATTTGGCAAGTTGTTATCGAATTTAATGTAAAATTTAAACAAAGACAAGATATTGATTATTTTTAAAAGGTATATATTAATACAACTATTTTCTTTATAATCCCAACTTAAGGATATAAAATCTCCCTCACCAAAAAACTTACAATTGGGTAACGCTGCTTCGATTTTTTTACAATTGAGCAATTGTCAAAAATCTGATTTTTAATCAAAAAGTTGTTTATTGAAACTACCTTCTTTTTTGTATCATGGAAAAAGGTTTCACATTCAAATATATTTTGAAAATTTAAAATTTTTGTGCGAAGAAATCAAAAATATTTGAGTCAAAAATATTCTGCCAATTGTTGACCTGTGTACATAAGTATGTATGTATGTAACTCTTCCCAAGTGAAGTTAAGTAAAGCTAAGCACGGGGGCCTATTCGGGTCTATACTCTTTAGTCATCAGTCGCACAACTTTTGGCTGGCTATATTTCTATTTTGTGCTGGCTATATACTTACTATATACTATACTATACTAGTACTATATTTAATGAGAGCCCTTACAATATAAAAGCATGTTTGGTGTAAAAGTTCATAAAAATCGTTAATCGGCTTCCCAATGAAGATTTTATTCGCATTTCATGTGAACTCGAATCACTGTGCGATACGTGCATAGCTTTACACAACTACCCTGTCGAAAAGCGCACTAATGCCGAACTGGTTCTGTACCAGAGAATTTAGAACCATTCCCTTTTGCATGCTAGCAACTGGCAAATTTAACATTGCGATGTCCTACGAAGTGTCAATTGCCCTGCGCTGCATCCCTTTTTCGATAGTTCCGAACTAGTCCTAAATTATACAGTTCCGAACCAGTTCTAAAATCGACAGATGAAAAAATTATCACGATTTTTTCTATCTTTTTGGGTTTTCCGTGTGTACGATTTTAAATTATTTTCAGAGGAATGTATTTTCAATTTGAAATTACATTTGTTTCAGTGATTGTAAGAAATGTACGTTTACATACCTTTGGCTGTAGCTGAGTTCGCAGAGGTGTTTCCAGAAGGTCCCAAGATGTTAAAATGTTAACACAAATTTTTGTTTTGTACTACCAAACTATGAAAAAGCATCTGCGAAGTGCAGAATGAAAGCGTATTTGAACGAAAAAGTCGCTAAACACATATCTGCGCAAAATAAACTAGCATCCCTTTTTCTATAGATCTGCACCCGTTCTAAATTCGTCACCTTAGATATAGATTTTGAACTGGCCTAGTTACTATCGGACTGGTTCATTTTTGGGGTTTAAAGATCTAGTACGGAACTAGAAATTTGATTCACTAGTTCGTGGTTTCCCTGCAGGTTAAAATAGTGGTACGTAAACATAATTGCACGCACACAAATGTATGACTGTTTATTTTAGCGAACTGTGTATGAAAGAGCAACTCGTCTATCAAGTGGAGAATTCGCAAACTATAAGTGGAGGATTCAGATGTCACTCCTTTTATCATGTTGTAGCTTGGCGAACTCAGGTACTTAACATATTTATGTTCTTATATACTTATGGGGGTTGCTTAAAACGATAAATGATGGAATGGGTGAGCTGGACAAGGACAAAAGGTTGAGTGCAACATTAAGCCCATTTTGCACCGTGCAAGGGCAACATTTTTTGGCAGAAACGAAATCACCATTAGATATTCTGATTATATTCCTTATCGAGAAACGCCGGGGAAATACATACATGTCTGGTATAAAACAAAACTCTTGAGCAGCACTACACTACACACTGCATTTATGTAGAAGACCTCACAAATCGCCTCTTTTTAGAAGTATTTATAGTTGCGTCTATACGCTATGTATTTCAGTTTATTCTTCGTCGCCAAAGAGAATAGATCGAAATGTCACTAGCCGGCAAAGTGGTAATTGTCACGGGGGCAAGCTCAGGTATTGGAGCTACCACTGCAGAAGCTTTTGCCCAGCACGGCGCCAAGGTTGCAATTGTCGGACGAAATGAAACCAATTTAAAGACTACTGAAGCGGCCTGCAAAGCAGCCAACAGCAAAGCCGAAATACTACCCATCATTGCTGATGTAACTGTGGACGCTGAACGTGTCATAAACGAAACCGTACAGAAATTTGGGCAGCTGGATGTGTTGGTGAACAATGCTGGCATACTGGCTAATGGAAATATTTTGGACATTGGTGTGGAGCAATTTGACAGCATTTTAAATACAAATTTACGTGCGGCTTTCCTTTTGACTAAATTCGCCGCACCACATTTGGTAAAAACACAAGGCAACATCGTTAATGTGTCCAGTGTCGCCGGCTTGCGTTCATTCCCGAATACTTCAAGCTATTGCACCTCGAAGGCAGCTCTTGATCAGTTTACCAGATGTATTGCTTTGGATTTGGCGCCGAAACAAGTGCGGGTAAATTCTGTGAATCCTGGCGTGGTGGTAACAGATATCCATAAACGTTCTGGCATGTCTGCAGAGGAGTACGCTAAATACTTGGAGCACCATAAAGAGACGCACGCGCTGGGCCGCGTAGGCTCAACTAAGGAAGTGGCCGATGCTATTATTTTCTTCGCCAGTGATACAGCCAGCTTTATAACGGGTGCAACATTGCCCATCGATGGCGGCAAACATGCAATGTGTCCGCGTTGATTGGGAATTTAGATATAGATTTGTATTTAACTGCTCATTATGTATTTTCTAGCTCGCTACCTTAAATAAATTTTATTATTTATGTACAAATGTATACCATTAGGTTTGTTCGTATATTCTCCAGCAAAAAAAAAATATCCAGTAACTTGTAAATTTAACTTCCGCGAATCGCTCTCAATGAAATAGTTATGAAAAGAAGTGCGAAAATGCTAACATTGCACCAGCTTTAAGAAATTTTAATGAAATAGGTTTTTTGAGCAATTCCAAAAAAGCATTCCTTAAGGCTGGTTTTAACTATGTCAAATTTAATGGCATTTGTCGTCAAATAAGTGCAAACACATTGTTAAGTGGGGCTAAGAAGCTTTCTATCGATTGATTTAGATCAGAGTGAGTCTTCAGTCGTGTACATGTGCTGCTGAATCGTGGATAAAATAGATAAAAGAAGCGATAAATATGATTACTGAATCAGCTGCTACTGACATATTGTTACAAGTACATTAGGGTGCAGCACCAATCATTAGAAGAAATAACACTCGATTTACACGATTCAAGTACTTGAAAGTAAATCTTGCTCATTCTCTTTTGTGTTTTCTATTTGCTTTTACACGCTTCAATTCTGTTGAATTCAAGTTTTTGGTTCCTTAAATGGAAGCAACGAAAGTGTCAAAAGCAAAGCAAGAAAGTTGAAATGACTTGACGGTACAGACGCATGTGTACTCGTCCCTTTTCTTCTCACCCCCTCTCTTCCATATCCGAGCATAATTGAATTCAATACTTGAACTGTGTAAAAGCAGTCTAAGTAATGAAAGTGTTATGCCAAGTGCNCCGAGCATAATTGAATTCAATACTTGAACTGTGTAAAAGCAGTCTAAGTAATGAAAGTGTTATGCCAAGTGCTTATTCCTTTCATGAATATTGTAGCCCCAGTCTGATGATTGTGACTATCTAAACTCTCTATTGATGATGAGTGAAAGGTGTGCAAAATTGCATGATCTTAGCTGTGTAAGTGGACAGATTCCACGTCAACCGATTTCGATAATTCTTTTTGCACCGGAGAGGTAGTATCTCACAGGTGGTCCCATACGAATCTGGTTTAGATCCGATAATTGCATCATGTAACATATACATATATATGTATATAATTTTTTTTTATTTGAGAATGGAAGTCGGTTTTGTTTTTTGCTTAAAAATTACTTGTTTTTTAATTATTTTTATCGAAACGTCGTTCCTTGAAAACCAAGACTACTGAATTTTTGTTGATCTCATTAAACATATGCATATACATTAACATACATATCGTCTGCTGAGCGGAAGATCGACCTATCTCGGCAGCCGTTTCGAAAACGCCCTATCTCAAAAAACTTTACAAGAGCGCCCTATTTCATAATTTTATTGAAAAACACTCTATCTCAGAATTTGGTCGAAGAACGCCCTATTTCGGAACTCGATTCGATATAGGGCGTTTTTGAATCGGCAGCTAAAATAAAGCGTTTTTTAAACGAATTCTGAAATAGGGCGTTCTTCAACCAAATTCTGAAATAGGACGTTTTTGAAAAGTTTTATGAGATAGGTCATTTTCGAATTGGCTGCCGAGATAGGTCGATCTTCCGCTCAGCAGTCGATATATAAATGTAGTTAAGAGCTCAGAGAAGTTCAAATAATTCCGATATGGGATCATCGGCAAGATTTTTTCATAAGTTTTGCTTTTTTCCTTTCGTTTGCTTCTACTTAATAAGTGAAATTACGCCCTTCGAGTGGTAATCTCCGTTTTTTCAAACGGCATAAACTGCAGTTAAGGTTGATGGAAATCAACTAAATATACAAATAAATATGTGTTAGTTAGTTACACCGACATAACTCAGGTATGACTCTAAATGAATCAACTATGTGTAGTCGAAAAGCGAGTCACGAAGGATTAGTATTACCTAGCAGTGTGCTCTGTTACACCTGTAGAACGATGCTCTTGCACTTAAAATAAAAGGTAAATACGTTAAAAGGTTGTAATTTACATCATCAAAAACAAATGGAAAAAGGAAAATAAAAATTTCGACCAACACTAATGCACATAAACCGCAATAAATATATGTATGGATTGATTTACATTCTAAACTAAATGCTTCTAGTAAAATATTAAACAATAGCATCAACAGATAGGTGTTATCTTGCGGTAAAAAATAAAAATAAAATAATGAGAAAGAAAAGTACTCGTTATTGTTTCTCACAAAGAGAACCTTTGCTGTGTGAATAAGAAACATCAATGAGAAAGCATTTAATGTTGCACTAAAACGAATTTAATACAAATTCGTAGAACCAAGACCAGGAAGAAAAATATGCAATTCATTTTCGATTTTTTGCAAACAATCGAGTAGTATTTTTTTCGTTTTTTAATTAATTAAAACGATTTTTCATCATTATATCTCGGAATGAATCTCGAACACTGAAGAATAAATTAATATTTCTACATATTAGCTCTTTACTATCCTAATCCTCTATTTAAAGTTTGTTTTTTGACATTTGGGAAGTTCAGCCATCTTTCTCTCCAAAATCTCTCCGTGGCGTCTAGAAAAGCTCTTCTTTGCTGGGGGTTTTTAGGTCTTCGAATACTTTTCGCGGTTTTTTTTTAGAAAAATCTGTTTTTGCTCATCATTAAAATTTCCTCAATGACATGTTTATTTAATATCTACTCATGTTTAGTGTTTGTTAAGCGCGTGTCGAGTATTTTGGAATTTCAATATATGTATGTATGTATGTATATACAAGCGTGTCTAATCTTATTGCACACGCAAAATAATACGATAAACATCACTATCGCTAGACCCCAGCACTGACAAGTGTAGGATACACGATTTCGATGAGTGTCACAGCCAACCTGTGCTTATCTTTTCACCCGCTGAATGCACATTAGCGTGGTCCACAAATGCATTTGAAAAGGTAATGTCGGAATTTTAATGTTCTGACCCCTTAGAATTAATGTTTACCGAAAGAAATATACCCCTATTTTTTATTTTGAAATCAAAAAATATTTAGAGGTCGCTCAAAGTTTTCCATGTATTTTATATGGGAAAAAACAAGTTTTCGTAGATATGGTATAGAATTTTTGAAAATCAATATTTTTCGGTATTGAACACATTGAGCGCTTTGAGTGACCTCTAAATATTTTTGATTTCGAAATAAAAAAAACAGGGGTGAGAGCATACAAATTTCGACTTAGCTTTTTTTGGACCATCCTAATGCACTTGCATAGAAATGTTATAACAAAAAACCCCCTTTCTCCAGCAAAGAGACATAAATACTTCGAAAACTGGCTCTCTCTTTACAGTTGGTGCAATGAGTTTTAACAGTAAAGTCGTGATAGTAACAGGTGCCAGTTCAGGCCTGGGCGCCGCCACTGCCGAAGCATTTGCCAAACGTGGCGCTAAAGTAGCGCTCGTCGGTCGCAATTTGTCGAATCTTAAAACTACAGAAGCCGCCTGTAAGGCAGCCAACAAAAACGCTGAGCTGCTACTCATCGCTGCCGACGTCACCGTGGATGCCGAACGCATTATCAATGAAACAGTCAAGAAATTCGGACAATTAGATGTGTTGGTGAACAAGCTGGCATTTTAGCTTACGGTAGTATTTTGGATATTGGTGTGGAACAATTCGACTCCCTGCTCAATACCAATTTACGTTCATTTTTCTGCTAACCAAGCTGGCTGCACCCCATCTAATCAAGACACAAGGCAATATTGTGAATGTGTCAAGCGTCGCCGGCTTGCGTACATTCCCGAATACTTCAAGCTATTGCACCTCTAAGGCAGCTGTTGATCAGTTTACTAGATGTATTGCTTTGGATTTGGCGCCAAAAATGTGCGTGTCAATGCTGTGAATCCTGGTGTAGTCGTCACCGATATTCATGCACGCAGTGGCATGACCGAGGAGGCTTATGCGGATTACATGCGACGCGCCAAAGAAACACACGCGCTTGGACGTGTGGGCACAGCAAAGGAAGTGGCTGATACCATTGCCTTTTTGGCTAGTGACGAGGCGTCCTTATCACCGGTGCTACAGTGCCTATCGATGGTGGCAAGCAGGCGATGTGCCCGCGTTAAGGGCAATCAAAATTAAATAAGTATAAACATATTTTTTTATATCTACCTGTAAATAGTAATTTTAAAGTACATGTTAGCACCGTCAGAAAAAAAATTATTAAACATTTTTTATAAAAAGTTAAAAAACTTTGCGTGTAATTGTTAGAGTTTATTGAATTTTTTAAATTTTTCTAAAAAGTTTGAAATGCTGCTGGTTAATAACCTCATGTGCTAGACTTTATAAAAAAATTATAAACATTAAATAAACAAAAGAAAAATAACCAAAACTGGTCAAAATGCCATCTAACTTAATCAGCTGACCACAAGCGTATTTTCCTGGGTAAATGGAGCCTACGTTTTATGTTAGACTTCTGTGTAGAGATGCATCGGTGAAAACTGCTTTCAATTTCATGTATTAAGTTTTGCGACTTGTGCACATGCGCCGAACATTTTCATAGTGATGATCAATGCTCCTTACTGGTTGCCCGTAACAACAGTTTTTCCGCAATCGCTCACTTCAGTCGCATCAGTTTTTTGCTGTCCATCATCTGACCATTTCCAGAAGCGGTTGAGTTTGTGAGCCACCCGCCCAAAGGGACGATAGAGCATAAAGATGGGGAGGCCATTTAGGTTAGGTTAAGTAAGCTACCGGCCACCGCGGGCTTCGCTGAGACTATTAAGGTCTATAGCATTACCGATACCCTACGACCATTTGAAGCTAATCACTGCGTATCAGGAGAATTTTGAGAACTATCGTTCATGGAACATCGGCATGGCGGCAGCTTCCAGATTGGATAGTAAACCTGCTCCCAGTAGACTAACCTGCAGTCTGCTAAGCGCAAGACACTCGCATAGGATATGCTGCACTGTCTCCTTATACGTTCTGCATCTTCTACAGATCTTATCATTGGTCAGAGCCAATTTAAAGGCGTGCGATACCAGTAGACAAAGGAGAGATTTCGTCAGCTTCATGTCATGCGCTCTGCACATAATCCTGAATACCTTGCAGCCTTGCATTTTATTCCACGCCTTTTGCACCTTCCGGATCGTGGGTAGGCCAAGTTCCCGTTTAAACTCATGGACGGAAATCTGCACCTCTTCTATCAGCATGGTTTCCAACAAAGCTCCCTCTTTGGCCAGTCCGTCGGCCTCCTCGTTGTCCACGAGTCCTTTGTGTCCCGGAACCCAGTACAGATGTACGTCAGTACCAGTCTATAGCCAATCCGGAGCTTCTCTGCACTATGCTCCACTTCTAGAGGAAATGCTGTGAGATAGTAGCACCTTTATCGCAGCCTGATTGTCGATATCGAGATTCACCCGCTTATTTGCTAGATTGCTGTTCAGTAGCTCCAACGCCCTCCTTGTAGCCAATAAATATAAATGTGTTCTTCTCTATTCTGCCCACCAAACCAATAACCCATGGATAAGTATCGGCCCTATAACGCCGTGAAGATTCAGTGAGAAAGAGAAGGCGATAAGCCCCAGGTACAGCCCAGATCCATCTTTTTGCATACATATAATGCCACGGAGTCCTTCTTCGGACTCTTCCCCACATTGAGACGCCACTACAGCTTACTATCGAGTATTATTCCGATGTACTTGATGCTTTGCTTTACCTGGAGCGTCATTCCATCCAGCCACTTATGGTTGAACAACTGGCCCGTCGTTTGTCATATGGCAAGCACTGAGAAAATTGTGTCAAGTCGAACAGCTCCGCAGATATTCATGAAAGGCAATATACCGCTTACCTCCGCGAGTAATAACTGGTGGTTACACGGAAGAAATAAACCAGCGGGGTGGGTTTTTAGTGCGAGAGCCGAAATTCAAGACCCAGACATTTCGGCTTTCAATGCTTTGTTACACCGCTAGACGTCAAACCCTTCATGAAACCCAGGTTGAATTTTCTGGGGAAAGAACAGCTTATGTTTGATTAGCTCATTTACCGGAGGTCTGGAACAGTTATACCAGGGCGATGTGTGGAGATAAGTATACGACAAGGTAAACCACAACACTTGCAATTTTTAAGACAAGCCTTTTGTTTTATTGTAATAATCTCTACTCACTTTCATTAACGGCTTTATCCTTAACAACAGAGTAATAAAATAAGGTTTAAGAGACTCGAAAAGTTGTAAATATAAGTAACACTAGTTGCCGATATTGGCTTATTGGGATTATTGTAGGCTGCCATGGTGCCTCTGTTGTAGACGTTATTTTTTCGAAAATTGAGTTTTCCAACACAGTCGGAAATATTTTGAATGCAAATGTTTTCAGGTAATGTTTTGTGAACAGCTCCTTTTTCAGAAATCGGTTGTAAAATTGTTACAGGAGCATGCGTTGAAATGGTATCTAAAAGAAATATTTATATATTCAGCTCACGTAACTAAACAATTTTCTCAGTGTATTTTTTTAGTATTATAACAAGTAATGTAACTAATAAAACTGAAGAAGATCGCACCGCAACTCCGAAAACCTCATCATACTACTTACCCTCTCAGCGACCGGATATGGCACCGGTCTAGGAATGGGCACTGGCAGCACAGGTGGATAGAATTTCCGGGCAATGAAGGCATGAATTATTGAAGCAATACTCAATGCTGCAGCTGTCTTTGCGGGCACTATGATAGGTGCTGGCGGTGGACCAACCGGTGCTGCAGGTGCGACGACAGGTGGGAAAATTGGTGATGGCCGATATAGTGGCGACGGAAATGAGGGTGCAAATATTGGATTCTGATAGGGATGCGTCGGATAAAATGGTGGTAAAGGATATGAATTCGGTGCGGCATAGGGCGGTGGCGCATACGAATGATAGGGCAAAGCGAAAGGCGGTTGTGCAAATGGAGAGCCCAAGCCAAATGGAGCAAATGGTACTGGCCCGTATGGAGGCGGTAAATAAGGACCAGTTGAGTCTAAGCCATAGATGCTGCGTTTATGACGAAAAGATGGACGCGCTGCGATGTAGCAGCAAAGAAACTACATAATTAAATAAATGTAAATTTAATTTTGTACATATGTAAATATATTGTGAAGAATGAAAATTGTTGCCACTTACCAAAGGACATAGAAATTTTAAAATGCTGCGTCTGCTTGAAAACATTTTACACCAACTCACTTTAGATGTGTACAAAATTTGAATTGCAGCATGAAACTGATTTCAACTCTCGGCTAGCATTCTCTTTATACTCTTTCCACCATCAAAACTGGGTCTGCCGAAGATGCAAATTAGCTGAGATGCAAGTCATAGGTGTTTCTTGCAAGCCATAATGAGTTTACAAGTTCATCGTGTTGCAAGCAAATATATGGATATGCACATTAGGGTGGTGCAAAAACAGTAAAACAGTATATCGAGAAAAGTGTACACCTATTTTTTTATTTTGAAATCAAAAACTATTTAGACGTCGCTCAAAGCGCTAAATGTTTTCCATGTATTTTTTATGAGACAAAAAACTTTTCCTAGAAATGATATGGAAGTCTCGAAAAACAATATTTTTCGATCGGTTAACTCTGGCTCTCTTCAGGAGACTTCCAATAATAATACCCAATTCTTTATTTAACCTTTTTTTAATACTAGAGATTTTTTATTCATCTCCCATTGCATTTTCTGGCATTTTCTGGGGATTTTGGCGGATCTATAAAATATAGTTACTATTAAAATCTGGTTAAATAAATAATTGGATATTATAATTGGGAATCTCCTCTCAGAGAAACAAAAATTTCCGATTGAAAAATAAAAAAAAAAATATTAATTTCAAGAATTGGTTTTTTCCCATATAAAATACATGGAAAACTTTGAGCGCTTTGAGCGAATTCTAAATATTTTTTTATTTCAAAATAAAAAAATAGGGGTATATTTTTGTATAGAACAATCCTAGCGCGTGAGAGCATAAAAATTCNCATAAAAATTCTGACTTTACTTTTTCACATGCATTTTTGATCCACCCTAAGGTACGTATGTGGCAGTATTGCGATTTGTCATTATATGCTATTTTTTTATTTAACCACATACGGCAACTGAGGTAAAACGTTCAGTTAAATATTAATACCTATGATTATTTGCATTTTTTTGTTTTTAATTTTCTACATTAAAGTTGGTATTTGCAGATGTGTTAAATAGTAAAGTGTAAACAAATTTACTGGTTTTAGAGAAATTGTAATTTTCGTGACACGCTTGCCCTTTTTTTTGCTTTCGCGCCTCACTAGTACAGACGCTGGCCTAATAGATGGTTGCCTTTGAGATCATAACAAGTTACCTCTTTTAGTCTTCATTAGTTATTTGAAAATAAGTTTTGTAATTTGTAGATTTTCGGAGTACAGTCCTTTAAATGTAACATATATGTATATGTATGTACTATGTACTAGAGAGACTGCATTAGACTAACCTAAAAAAAAATTAATGCGCTTTCATGAACATTTCGTGAAAAGCGGTACATTTTTGAGGTACAGCCTCACTATATTCAATATTAGTGGTACTTGAAATAGTTATCGAAGTTTATTCTTTGCTTTATTTAATTATGCACTTATACTATGTATAATATATGTATGTTTGTATAGATGTATGTATGTACATTAATTTAATAATAATTTTGTTGTTGTTGTTTGTATTTAGGAGATTCAAAAGCAAAAGCAACAGCCGTTATGGCAATACTTCTCTTAACATCTTGTGATAGCACTAATTAATGCTAGCATTTACAAGGAAAGTAACATTCAGAAATGAATGTATGCATATGTATACTTAGATGATTCACAATTCCTGTTGTCGTAATCTTATATGTATATTTCATAAGGCTTAAATACATTTTCTTGTTGCTGAGAATCATTAAGAAATATTTTAAAACGTAGTAATTTGTTTAACAATACGTCGCTTATGACATTTTGCGAATCTCCTATGTGGATTATGTACTTATGTATGTTATATGCAAGGATATTGGGCAAAAAGTACATAAATTTCAAACTATTCATAATTATTAATAAACATACTACATATGTAGATGGAACATTTTTGTCATAATTAATTATGTACTTGCTTCCAGAAACTCAGCCATACTATATCTACAATTTAATGGCCCTATTTTGTATGGCGACTGATAGCCGATGGGCAACCATATACTAAAATTCGCATTATGTACATATGGCAACTGGCTATTGAATCGGCTACTGATTCTAGTAAATATATAGCGCAATTTGCTGCTTAAGACGATTTTGTTATTTGTTTACATAAATTGTTAAACACATTGGAGCAAAGTTGCCAATTACTTCGAAATGTACATGTCAAAAAAGTAAATTCGGATGTCGTCTGCATTTTTCTGTATACTGATATTAATTGCTATATACAATACAAAATACGATACTGGTAGCCACGGCTAATAGACCAGCCACTACACATCAGTCGCCATACAGATATGGCGTTTTTCAATCGAATTCTGATGTAGGGCGTTCTTGAAAAGTTTTCTGAGATAGGGCGTTTTCGAACCGGATGCCGAGATAGGTCGATCTTCAACTCAGGCATCGATATGTAGGCATAATTTATTTGCTTATTATATATTTTAGAATCAAAGGTATAGCAAATAAATACTACACCCATTACCACCCTTTCAACATGACAAAACCATATTGAATGTAGTTTGCTTTTGCAACTATAATTTATTTGCTTGATCATAATCCAAGTGGTATTCTGAAAGCTCAGTTAGTCTAGACTTAACTTAACTTAATTACCGTCAGAAATCGATAATGATTAGACAACACGTCACAGCTCAACGTCTTAAATGCCACATCCAAGCGATTTATGTTTAAGAAATACAAAAACGAAAGTCAGGCAAGCCTGATTATCTCACCGCCCTCAATTTACGTAAAGCTGTATCTTAAGAATCTAAAATGTACAGGTTCTTAAATTTCTTACAGTAAGTAACAATTTTAACTAACCGCCAACACAGTTTCTCATGTAACAGGTTGGCCAAAATATTAAGTGCCGGTTGTTCAACGTCATCATTATCGACGCTTTGACATTACGCATATAACATGTAATCGATAAAGCAGTCATTGTATTTAACCGGAGCATCTACCTCCGATTTGTGTTAACCAGACATTGAACAACCGGCCCTTAGTTAAGTTAAGTTACGTAAATTAAGTCTAGACTAAAAGCTCAACTATGCATACTTGGCGTTGCGTGAGAGTTGTCACATAAGGAATCTGTTAAATAAGTTTTGCGTGTAAGCGGTTACCCAACGCATAGCACCTTCGCATGTAGAAGTCTGTTGGATTTTGATTTTTACGTAAAAATGGCAGAGCAGTCCAAAGTATGCATGACTGGGCTATAACTGAGCTTTGGCAATGGCTACGCTAAATTTTCGTCGCCAAAATTCTCTAAATGAAAAGCAGTGGTGCCTAAAAGTATACAACATGGAAAAGTAACGGATGCAACTTATAATCGGCAAATTCATATATGCTCCCCTAGTAAAAATAATGACAATCGATACAACTATGAATTTTCTACACAACCTAGAAGAACGTTAGAGATCATTTATGCATACTTAACTAAAAAACAAATTTTTTTTGGATTATGACACTCTTGCGGGAAATGTTCGGTATGCACATACATATTTAAGTATATTTTTCTCAAACCAAATGCTTTTCAGTTGTTAAAACTTAATAGACTATGATTTCTTTTAATCTGTTTAGCATCAAATCCATGAGTTTCCAAGGTTTTTCACCCGGAATGGCAGACCGTTAGCCGTAAACGACTTTCCGCAATTCAGCTGCATTCGAAGGCAAATGGGAAAAATTGATCTCGGAAGATAAAAAAAAAATTAAAACTTTACGTTTGCGAAGAAAATGAGTTTGCCGATTGAAAATATTGATTTTCAAGGATTCTTTATAGTCTCTAAGATTTTTTTTCATATAAAATACAAGGGAAACTTTGAGCGCTTTGGGCGACCTATAAATATTTTTTGATTTCAAGAACAAAAAAAAGAAATAGTTTTTCGATATAAAACAATTCTAGGGCGTGAGAGCATTAAAATTCCAACATTACTTTCTTTGGACCACCCTTATGTTCACCGGTTGCCTTGATATACGTAGTTTTTTTTCAGAGCCACTATGGTATCATGATTTTTTAAATTAATTTTTGCATACTTATTCTCAGTAAGAAATATAAATCAAGCAAACTAATTACAGCCAGATATTCAGACAGTGTTAGATAATCGTCGCTTGGCGCGCAATACCTCGTATCCGCCAAATGCAATACCACGCAGAAGATAGTCCGAAAATTCAAAACGTTTGAACGGACTGCTAACCAAACTTACTAAATATGAGCTTCTACTATAATTATTTGTTATTAATACGTAGGAAAGCATTGACCAAAATACATTTTTTTCTATGCCACCTCGTACGCGGTATTGCATTTGGCAAATACGAGGTATTCCGCGCCAAGCGACGTAATGTTGTTATTTATTGGCTNTGCCAGGATGCCACTTTGTAATGAGTTTTCGTACGTTTTAAATTTTACACTTTTGAATGTAAACAAAAATTATATCAGCTGTTCGTCTAACTTGCAAGTTTCTGCAAATTTTCTACTATTTTGGATATTTCTCTCTTGTGAGCGAACAGATGACATTTCGCCGGAATTTGGCAGTTGGTTGGTTTCTGTTGGAGATTTTAAACGAACGCACCTAGTATTGGCTATAGTCCTGTGAGTTTGTATGCATAACATGTACATACATACATATCTAAAAGTAAAAGCATGTATAGCTTAGTTTCTTAGTACATATACTGGTATGTATGTATGTATGTATGTAGTGCTACTTAGGCAATATCTGGTTATTAAATAGTTACATTCATACGTTTTACAATATAAAGATTTGTATTAGACTAGAATAAAAATGGACTAGAGTCGGTTTGTTTCCTTTTGAATTCTATACAGCACATCAAACCATAAATTACACACTGACATACACAAATATTCGTACTGCGCGAATATTTGAGCAAAACACATTATAAATGCGCGTACTAATTTGGAAGAAATTCGATTAGTTTGCATAAGAATATAAGTACATTGGATTTTATATTACTTTATGTTAGGATATGAAAGTAGTTGACTTGTGGATTTTGTGTGTGTGCTTACATATTTAATTTCGTACGTTAGCTCATAATTAAAGATTTCTAAAATGTCTTATTGCCAAATCTACAGGCAAATCGAAATCGTATTTGGTGAGTGAATCGATTGAGCGCAGCGAATCACGAAAACCAGTGCGCGCAACATAGCTGTTGGCGGTGTAATATGTGTCGACCAAATCGCTGCAGCTGAATATCAAATTCAGCCATTCAACTAGCTGATGGCAGCTGTAAGTATAAGGAATCGTTGAAGTGAAAGATATGTATCATCACGCAAATCAATCTGCTCTACTCACTTTAAAGCCGCACAGACGAAAGCCTTAAAATGTGCATTGTAGCTACGTTTGTAGGGCCGATGCATGGCTATTATCATACCCACGGCGCTAAGGAAACTCTGCTTCGCTGTAATCGTTTGTGCATCAACTATATCCAGATTGAAACTTTGTGAAAGTTTGCGCGCTGGCGTATTATTGAAGTCATCGCCATTCTTCAAGTAGTAATACTCCAAAATGAGTTCCCAAGCGTGCATTGGGCGACTACCGCCCACACCAAAGAACCCACTTGGGCCTTCGTCATCGCAATCGTTGCCCGTATAATTGGCATTGTAGGTGGAGGAGAAAGCCGCCGAAGAAACAAAGGACGAAGTTCTGGTTGCATCCCTTGTGCGATAGCCCTGCTCGGCAGCAAAAACCGGGGACGGATTGAGGCAGCGCATAAATGGTACAATTAGACTAGAAGTAGCCGATTCGGTTTCCACACGCAGTCCATGTTGTATTAGACGTAATAATGTCATAGCGAAATTCTTGCGCACCGCTGTCGTTAATTCTTTGCTTATCGTTGCTATTGAGTCGCCACCATTGTAGCGCGTGCCATGTGTTTTGCGACTATGGTTTCGTTCCCAAGCGTAACAGTCATAGGTGTCTTCATCGGAATCGGAGGAGACGGTATATGCCTTAAGTTCCTTACGATTTGACGCTGTAGGTTTGGTACGCGCGCGCGGTGGTATTGTTACAGTGCCATTATGTGCGCTTAGGGCCAGAGTTGCATTGGCATTACGATTCGAGTTTTTCAATGCTCGCTTCATATTGGCCAACTTTTCACGATCGAAACTAAGTGTTGCTGCTAATGATGCGACCTCCTGTATATCAACTTCTAGCTGGGCTCGTAAATCGCTGCAAGAGAATTAATTAAATTATTGTGAGAAATCAAATCGAGAAGAAACGGTATGCCTTTAAAAAAAAAGTTCACTCTAGATTATCCGCATGATGTGTAGTACAGCCGTCCACAAAACAAGAGCTGAGCAGATTTGAAATTAATGATTTTTTCTCCACCTATACGTGCAAAGTCGAAGACTATTTCACCTCACCATGGGTATGAGGTGGCCACGTAAATGTACGCACTTTTAGATTCGATTACTTCGATCACCTAGTTACCTCGATCAAAAGACCTATTAATAAAGCAAATCTTAAGAGGGTTAAACCATGAAAGCTGTAACTATTCTTAAATCTGTCCTTACAAGGACAAACAGTAACTAGCTTCTCCTTGTTGATATTTTTGGAAATGGACACTTTAGTTTAGAAGATGGAGCTGCCGTAATATTAATCAGCTGGATACTCCCGACCACGTCTAGTCTAACTCTTAACGTAATGATAAACCTTGTTCAGTCGATATACATAGCCGGGAAAGCTGCGCCTTCCACTGTGCAACTAGACAACAAGGCGTTGGCTATAAGTTCATTTCTAACTATGAGCCCTACGGAATTTTAAAAAGCTTTGAGTTTATCTGAGCCTTAACCGATCATCGCATACCGATACTGATTCCCGCTTGATCCTCCACGACTCATATTCCTTCAAGGGAAGTTTATTATTATTATTATTATGAATGTTGGGGATAAAACATTGCGACCTTAAGCTCTACTTTAGTATGGAACCCTAATCTATGAATTTTACTTCGCCCTCGGTTATTAGATGTTCACGCAGGTGTCTTTTACGTTTGTGCGTCAGTACAGGACACTCTTTTAAGATGTGCTGTAAGAGGGGAAATTTAGACGTTCTTCAATATGTTTAATCAGGGGGACAGTGAATTTATCCACGCATGGATCAAAGGTCGATGGACCTTTGACCTGAGATAAAAAAATGCAGGAAATTGAATGCTTTCGAATGTAGTACCAGTCGATGATATGAGAAAAGAAGATGGAGGCAGCTCAGCGGGCGCTTCGCGAAAATCTGGAGATGTGAGTTGACTAAGTCCTTCCATAAGCGTCTCCCCTCCCCTCTCAATTCTTAAATGATGAGACAAATTTTATAATTTACTAGAATAAGACCTTCAGAATGTAATTGATAGCATAAATTTAATCTCCGGGAGCCTCAGCCTTTTTATGTATTGCCGAGCCGAGACCATACAGGAAAGTTCAACATTCTGATATTCCTTTCAGGTAAAACCTCTATTCTGTCCTCCAGTCTGAGCCACCTCATTTTCGATCGAAAAATATTGATTTTTAAGAATCCTATACCAATTCTATGCATTTTTTTTCAAATAAAATACATGGAAAACTTTGAACGCTTTGAGCTCATATTTTTTAGGGGGTGGTAAGTAGCATTAAAATTCCGATTTTACTTATTTTTGGGTCACCCTAATGTACATACAGAACCTTTGTATATATCGTTTCGCTTAAAAAAAAAGTCAACGTCAAGTGTTCGACATATTTTCCACTCACACTTACCCCCAGTGATTGCCTTTTGAAGTCTTCTTCAGCGTATTCTTTTGGAATCGATCAGCTTTCGCTCCAAAATGTGTAGTGGCGAACATTTGCATCAGCAGTGAAGCTTTATCCAACAAACTATGCGCTTTGCTATTCAAAGACTCGTCATTACTTAGTTGTGCTGCATTTCGACTTGTATTTGGATTCAATGAATTTAGAGTGTCTTCTGTTGCATCCTGCTGTAACGACGCATGCTTTTTACGAATCTTTTCACCTTTCTTCTTGGCAGCATAGCTATTGTAGGCTTCATTTAGTTTCTCACTACCGTTGAGCGTCTTCATTTTCGAATCTTCGGTGTCGCATTGCAAAAACGCTATGAAACGTTCAAGATCAGTTATTTGTGTTTTCAACTGTGCCACCAATTGTTCTTTCATCCGGAGCGGACCTACAAATTCACCGATAGCAGTATCAACATGGTTTTTCAACTCTTCGGAACTAAGTTCGGGTAAATCGCGCTCATCAACTTGCAAATTCAATTTGTTCTTAAGCTCATCAATGATAATTTTCTGCTTCTCCAGCAATATGTGTTGTGGCAAGACGGGTGCACCTGATTCATATGCAAGTTTTTCCAATTCACTAAGTTGTGTTTTGAGATGTTCGATTAATTCGAATTGTCGTTGACGTACTGCTTCATCATCGGGCTGTGAAAGGGATGAGTCGTCATTCGTATTGCCTGCTGAGCCGAGTACTATAGGCTGAAAGTACAAAAGAAACAAGAGACGCTTTTAATATTATGTACACGTTGAAAAAGTTCCTATTCTAATTAAATTTTCAGTATTAAATGAAATAGATGAACTTCATTAAAAATGATTTAAATTAGATTGTAATCTAAAGTCTGTAGTTATGAGTGTTTGGCCGAGCTTTTCCTCCAATTCGTGGTGTGCGTATGGATGTTGTTACACAAATGGAGGGACCTACAATTTTACGTCGCCTTCGCACGACAAATGCATTTTATTAGAAGCTATTTCAAATGCACTCGGATGCCTGCCGAAGGGCGACCGCTGTTAAGAAAAAAACCGTTTCTTACCATTTTTTGGAATATTGCGTTGGCCAGGGGTCAAACCTTGGTTGTTGGTCGGTTTGGCCATCAATCGTTGTCGTAAAGCTCAAATAACGGTAAACCCAGGAAACGTGCCGTTTCTAAGGGGTTAGACCAGAGGGAGAGGGGTATTAGCTGAGTAGGCTTGAGTTGGTATCTGAAGTGTTGATTGGTGTCGTGGAGGACACTAATTTGGTATGTCAGAGTAGAGGCTGAATGGGTAGAATTTCAGACGGCTATAGTATCCCAACCGTAACTGGGCAGCTGAAGCTCATTGTCGGCAATAGGTAGAGATTGGGCTCCTATCACGGCAGATCGAGAGTCGCAGTAGGTGGTGGCGGACTCACTATAAATGTAACTATAGAGGGGTTAGAAACAAAGGTAACGCTCGCTCCAAACAGCCAATTGTCCAATTACTAATCAAAATTCCCATACAGTCCCTAATGTTTTGGAACTATCCAGAAAATCTCAGTTACAGAAATCTAGCCAAGCTCTAGACGGAATCAGGGCTTGGTCTGGAGTCGGATGGGAGATCGGGATAAACCGATACACATACAAATATTTATTCAAATTGGGAATTGGTGGTTTGGCGGTTGTGGTCAAAGACAAAAATCAGTTGCCTCCTCTGGTTGTAAGCTATGCAAAGTCAAGGTTCTGGAAGAGTGTTGTGGAAATACATAACGTTTTCCATGTTCTTTGTTCTTTTATTAACAAAATATGAAATATAGTAGTCTAAAGAAGCTAGAAGTTGTGGAGAAATAGTACTTCGCTGAATGAGTAGTGGGGAGTGTATATGTATTAAGTGCATTTATGAAGGTGAAAATGTTCATAGATAAGACCTAAACTTAACCTCCGCCTCTGGATTGTTAATAAAGCGGCCGAAATGCGTCGACATTTTTTGACGTTTTAAGCAGTTATCCCCTAACTCTCGCGAATTACTATTTCCTTCATGTTTCTCTCAAGGAGAACAAATTTCATTTCATTTTCATTTATTAAGAAAAGGGCATTAGTACAATAAGATCATAGATCTTTTATACTAGTACAAAACAGAGATTAAAAATACAAATACAAATAAAATACAATACTTAAGACAAAAATAAAAATAAAATATATCACATTATATTTACATATGTAGCAAAGGTCAACACAGATGACAAAGTGAAAGTTAAATGTTTGGCGAAACTCAGATTGAAAAATTAAAATATAAAACATATGTATGTAAATATTTAGTTCAGCGGAAGTACGTATAAATGGTGTTCTTAAAGTAACTTGTATTCAATCCATACAATGTCTTATTCTAAAAAAGAAGTATTTTAATATGAAGTGAAAATTTGAAATAAAAAATCGGGCGACCTTTTTTGTATTATTTTGACATCTGGCAGCACCAACATCTGTGTTCATTTGCAAGCCTTAGATATTATCGATGAAAACTGTATGGTGAATTCTTAATTTTAACAAAAAATTACTTAATAACTCAAGGTGGAGTCTTCACTTTTAGAAACATAAAAATACCCTCTACCCCCATCATTTTTGGTTTTTTCATATTTGGACAGATATTAAGGAAAAATTTCCCGTTTGTTTGAAAATACATTTTTTTTTTTTGGAATTTTATATAATTTTTTGAAACATATACAGCAACACTGATAAAGACATATGTACATACGTACATATTTATAAAACTAAAACTTAATTCTAACGGGGCGCACTTCACTTTCAATTACATAAATCCTAAAACTTACTTCCGGTATGCCGCGAAAAGCAAACTCCTCCAAATCCTTCAGTAATTGATCACGCTCGTGTGATGGTGCCTCCACTATTTGTCGCACCCTCAATTGAACATGAGCAAAATGCGAAGTCAATGCCATCAAAGAAGATGTTAATAATTCTTGTTCTTCCTCCATGCTCCTTAAACGTCCCAATTCACTATCGTGATCATTGCGCAACAAATCCTGCTTATCCTGACTATCAGAACTTAAAAGTTCTAATTCAGATTCGGGACTTAATAGTTCCGATGTAGGGCTTATTGCATCGTCATAATTCGCGCCTAAAGGTGACCAACGTTCGCTAAGCGGATGGGGTGATGTCTGATCAAAATGCTCCGTAGCCAGCAATGTATCATCGCCAAAAATTGAAATAGTTTCTTTACATTGCTCAAACAGATGGTGCTCTGTATTTTGTAGATTAGTTCGCATTAATTTTACTGTGCGGTTTTTAACGTCTGCTTCTGCTTCTGTTTCATCTTCCTCTTCCTCCACTTCTAGTTGATTTACTATACACTCATATGCTATTGGCTTATGTGTGTAAGGGGTTGATTGTGCAGCTGTCGGTGAGGGTGTTGAATTTCGGGAGGTGGTGGGTGTTCGCGCCTCCATCGATGTTTCAGTTGCATTGCTTACGCTACATTGACTGTTGCAATGACGCTGGCGAAAAATCGTTTCCTCCTCGTCAAGTTGTTGACCTTCGTCCCCGTAAACATCCCCCACGTCTGTGCGCTTATTTGCCACCTCCACAACTGAAACTGCACAAACACAGTTGTCTTTGTTGTCTGCAGTGCATGATTTTTCACGTAGACTGGNCCTCCACAACTGAAACTGCACAAACACAGTTGTCTTTGTTGTCTGCAGTGGATTTTTCACGTAGACTGAAATCCTTATCGAATTTTTCTTCCATCTGTTCACTTAGTAAACTATTCATTTTTGGTAAACCTTTCTTTTACACGTTACTTATACACTATGCACTGAGGATGTTAAACATATTTTCACTCTATCAATGCAAATATTTTGCCACATTTTAAGCAAAAAGGTTTAGAGAAAAAATCAATTTTATTCAATTAGCACAACGATCCTACACAACAAGTAATCGGAGAAAAACTGCGAACATACTACGAAGCCACATACATGGTGGAGTTTTGTAATACATATTACGGTATATTGTAGTAGATTGGCGGAAGTGGGCGCAATGATGCCTGATTATAATAATTTGAGATAAAATAATTTGGAACATTTAAAAAATAGAGGTCGTTGAGCTAAAAAAAAAGTAGTGGAATTTTATTTAAATGGGCCTTTTTTATTATTTTAATTTTACTGAATGAAATAAAATGGACTATTTCTACGGATGGCAGTTATTTGCCACATTGCATTATATATAAACCTACTCCTGTTATTGAGTGCCTTAACAAAATAAAGGCTTTAACAAAATTAAAATAAATATATAATTTATGTAGGAAATGTAAAAAAACGTCTGCATATTTTATGTTAAATTAATATAAATATCCATTTTTGGATTCGTTATATGTAGGTAGATTTAGGATCTCACATCGGCAAGTTAGAGTGGTATCCCCATTTTCGCTTTAATTCAATTTCTTTTTTATTAAAGTATATTTTATTTAGTCTGATCGCATTTCATTTAACTTAATACTTTTTTGTTTTATATACACTTTTAATTGTATTAACTATTTAAGTTTTTTTTTTTTTATTATATATTGTTGACTTCAAACTTGTTATTCTTTTAGTTTCATTATAAAAATTTTTAAGTTGCATTCCTTATTAAGTTTGTACCAACTGTTTGCCCTCAAACAGACCTTGTGTACTAGCATCATTTTTAGTGTATTGTAATAGATGCACATATGACCAGCTGACATTTTCCAACATATGTTTTTGACAGTTCACTTCGCCAAATACTTCACCAGAAACGGCTGATTTTGCCATTCCAGTGCGTTTGCGCCAATTGAGACTATTTATTTTAATTTCATAATTTTGCCGCAATATCAGCCGGCAAATTAAAGGTTTAACGCGAAATAAAGCTACGAAAATGGCAACGAGACGGCAAGTTATAGCGATTTACCGCCAACTTCTACGGGAAGCAGAAAAAATTCCTGCCTACAATTTCAGGTTTGCATGGTTTTCATAACCAAATTATAAATGGGTTTGTTACGGAAGCTAAATACATACATTTCAATACTTGTTGTTTATATATTTTAGGTTGTTTGCTGGACGCAAGGTACGAGACACATTCCGAGAAAATAAAGGCATAAGTGATTTCGCGGTCATCGATGAAAAACTTGCAGAGGCAAGACAAAGTTTGGAACTTATACGGCGGCAGGTGAGAAATTGTGCACCATTTTGGTTGTAGTCATTTGTTACCAATAGCTATAAATGAAGACTTTGAATATATAGAAAAAAGCGAGGCCGAAATATCTAATAGCAACCAAAATTACCTTGATCTCAAAATGGTTGGTTCAACATTGCCAGGTTGACCCTGGCGAACCCGTTCGAGAGCCATTACTCGGCAGACTTTCAAATGTCAAAAGATTTAAGGACTACGTGCTGCTACAAAAACAATAAGCTCACTTTTATGTAAGATCATCAGCATTTTACAGGAGAGAATAAAAATATTATTTAATATTTTGTTATGTTGTGTGGACTTACTTCATGTAAACATAGCACTATATTCCTAGTAATAAGGAGAATTTGAATATTTTGCCTCTTAAATTTCTATTTCCACTGTATTGTGAGAAGCGACAAACAGGAAAATTCTTCCGCTTAGGGCCGAATCCACAGAGCTTAGTTAAACCATTGCTAACTTAACCACCAACAAGAGTTTAACCATGCATTTATATTCAGAGTCCTATAGTAGTTAACTATCTCTAATTCTACAATTTAATATACATATTTCTATACAAATTTGAAATTCGTTCCACAAAACAAATTTAATTAGGCAAGAGTTTAAATATGGGGGCATGATGGTTTAAACTTTGTTAACTGAATATCGATTTAATAGTGGATTTTATAAATAATTTAATTTCGATCGAGAATTTAGTCGATTTCTTACCGAAACGTACTACGGTTTCCAATTCCAAAAAGGAGACAAAATCCAAACGAATTTCTTACTGAAAGTTTACCATGTCCCAAGAAAATAAGAAAAATAATTTCACCATGAGCATGAGCATGTCATAACTGAACAAACATATGAACTCAAAAATCATTCCATAAATATGTACATAAGTACATATATGAATATTTATACAAAAAAAAATCTATTTACGTAAATGTGAGAGATTAAATACTCAATTTACAAATTAAAATGCGAGTACAACTGACGTTATCGACTACTATCTCTTGCAGGCAATAATTGGCCACTTATACTCAACTGAAAAACTGGTCATCGAACAGCCGAAGAAGGCGCTGCGACGCTCGAAGTAAAATATTTGGAGTGGGCCTGATAATTGTTGCACCTTGTTATATGCGCTACTATGATAATTACTTTGTTTTTATCGCTGCTGGTGCATTTAGGTTAGTAGGTTAAAATTATGGAATTAAAAGAATAAAATAAAAACACCGTAAAAAGTTAAGTATATTTCGCTTTAAATCCAAATTGCATTACTTTTATTTACACCATTATTATGTATGTTATTTGTATTTCAAGTACTTATATATGTACATATTTATGCAAAATTAATTTCTAATTAGTTACTAAGAATAAGCCGTGGAATGTCATCAGGAATAGTAGCTAATTTATGCCATTTACGCCTGGTATGTACTTGCTGACACATTGCCGCCGGTGCCGGTCCAATTAGTGTGCACGAATTTACCCTCTGCGCCCAGCAACTCGTACGTGTGTGCACCGAAGTAATCACGTTGCGCTTGCAGTAAATTCGCGGGCAGCTTCTCAGTGCGGTAACCATCGTAGAAGGAGAGCGCAGTCGATAGAGCTGGTACGGGAATGCCCCATAGGAAAGCATTGGCTACAACTTGACGCCACGAGTTTTGTCCTACTTCAATAGCTTTCTTGAAAAAGTCATCCAACAACAAATTCGAAAGCTGTGGATTGCGGGTGTATGCGTCCTTGATGTTACCCAAGAAGACACTAAAAATTTAAGTTGAGAGTATTGAGCGTTATACATACAAAGATAAATGATAGCATACGCTCTGATTGATGTTCTCACCTGCGAATGATACAACCGCCACGCCACATCAACGCAATACCGCCATAGTTCAAGTTCCAGTTGTTCTCTTTGGCAGCTTCGCGCATCAACATGAAACCTTGTGCATACGATACAATTTTTGAGCAATACAGCGCATGCTTGATATGATTCAAGAATTTTGGCAGATCATCCACCTGCGCTTTTACACCGGGGCCTTTCAATTGCTTGCTGGCCGCCACACGTTCCTCCTTGAGGGCGGAGAGACAACGAGAGAACACCGCCTCGCCGATTAGCGTTACAGGTACACCATATTGCAGCGCAGCTATGGCTGTCCATTTTCCTGTGCCCTTCTGACCAGCCGTATCACGAATGCGTTCCAGCAGATAGCCTTTATCGTCTTTGTAATTGAGAATGTCACGGGTTATTTCAATGAGGAATGAGTCCAACTCTTCACTATTCCATTTTTCGAACTCAGCAGCCATTTGCGATTGGGAGAGGCCAAGTGCTTTCGTGATTTGGTAGGCTTCGCAAATCAATTGCATATCACCGTATTCAATGCCATTATGTACCATTTTCACAAAGTGTCCAGCGCCACCTTCGCCTACCCACTCGCAGCATGGCTCTTTGTCTGCCTTTGCGCAAATGGCCTGGAAAATTGGTTGTATGAGTGGCCAAGCTTCTGGATGGCCACCGGGCATGAGGGATGGACCATGACGTGCACCTTCCTCGCCACCACTCACACCAGAACCAACGTATAATAGTTTATGAGCACGCAGTTCGTCGCAACGACGGGCGGTATCTTGGTACTCGGAGTTACCACCGTCTATGATAACATCGCCGGGCGAAAGTAGTGGTACCAATTGTTTGATGAAGTCGTCCACCGCACTGCCAGCTGTTAGAAATGAGATGGCAAAATAAGAATGTTAGATTCATGTGAAAATTGTGTAAGATGTAAAAAAGTGCACTCGTTTATGCTGATGAGATTTGAAAGCCGGCGGGATTGATTGCCATCATTGAACCGGGGGAAAGCGCAGAACTAGGTGAGAATATAGACTGACCACCATGCTTTCCCTAGGGACTAAGACAATCGAAGCCCTACTGTCTTCAATTGCAACTAAGCTACGCCCCGCTTTGGCTCAGCATGAAAATTACGATTGGCCTCAATATGATTGAAGGTCAAGCACACAGTAGTGATTGTAGACATTACAGATCACCATCAGCGCGAAGCAAGCAGTCATCGGTAGTATTTAAAGCCAAGGCCTCGAAAGCCACGTATGAAAAAATGGGGGTGCTATCACATACCCTATTGAAGTTCAACCTCTTCAAGCACCCCTGAGCAACGAGATATAAACACTGGCCATCAATAAACTCGCTACAGCGATCAACAACAAGCTCTCGCAACACTTGGGCAATGATAAGAAGAATATGGACATTGTTACCTTAATTTTCGTTCAAAATGAATCGTTTTTACGGATTCGGAGCTAAATGCCTTGATTTTCTATTACAAAACCATCAGTTAGTCGGTACCAAAATACAATTATCAGAAAATAATGCAGCAGTCAAAGGATTTCAAGCAATGATAGCTCCTGTAGACACGAAGATTGGAATCTTGAAATCCCGACTACACTTAAGTTTTAGAGAGATCACTTCTCAATGCTTTTGGACTAAACTTCAGGTAATGAAAATAATTGTAAATAACAAGATTTTTTTATTTATTAGTTCATTGCAAAATAATTATTATTTGAATCAAGAGCATCGTTAACTTTTGATATTTACATATTTTTTCGTTAAAAAATTGTCATTATTTTTTTATTATTTTTTTTCGATCATTGTTAACTTGTATTATAAAGACTGCATTTTATGCGCGTTTTAAATCTTTTATGATCAAGAATATTTATTCTGAAAAAAGGGCTATGGGATAATCGAAAATATAAAAATTCAAAAATAGCGACAATTTTTTATAGAAAAAATAAAAACTATTAAATTTTTTCGGAGAGTCAAGAGGCCTTCCACTCTGTATTCCTTATCCTTTCTTTTTTGTATGGAGTGGCACAAATTGAAGGCCTTGTACTTTTGCTACCCATAGAGGAGCTTCTAGAAGGGCTTTTGGAAATGTTTTAAATATACGTTCTAAATATGAACCAAATCCGACTATAAAGACGGGTTTATAAAATTTTTCAATTCCTGCGTCGTTTTTCGTATTGCATTGTCATCGGGTTCTGAAACAACTGTGAAGTTCTCTAGGTCATTGGAAAGTTGGACAAAAATTTATTTCATGTTTTTTCCCCCCCAAACAAGCAACAACAAGCATACATACAGAGCAAGTTAAATAAAAGCTTGTAAAAAATCATACTTCGTGAAGGTATTTATTTATGGTTCATGTCAAATAGTATGGTTTGTTGCAATCTAAAATGCATATGAATCCATTTGTAAGGTTAAGCAAAAAACAAAACCGACCTCAAATCTCATATAAAAATTTAGGAGTACCGTTAATTTTTTCATGATCCAATGATCGGATCTAAACCAGATTAGTATGGGACCACCTCTGAGACACTACCTTTCTGATGCAAAAAGAATTTCGAATTGATAATCTCCTCCTTTTTTTGAAATCGGTTAATAAAATAAATGATTCGGACTTTAACATAACGCATGATCAAAATCTATTTTTATATGAAAAAAATCCGCAACACTATGAAAAAAATTCTAAAAAACTAACGGTAATTTTTAGCGAGTTGAAACTTGCACTTTATTAGACTAAAATTTAATGGGCTACAAAACTGCATACCCGAAAATTTCAAAATATTCTGATTAAAAATTTGGAAATTTATATAAATTTTTTTTCAAATTTGATTATTTTTTTTTTTAATTGGGCAAGTTTTGAAACTTTTATTTATGTGATGTCTGTTATAGATTGCAAACGTCCGCAAAGATTTGGAAAATCGCAGTTTCTCAATTTTTACATTTTTTGAGCTACACATCGCTAAAATCTGAACACAATGTTTAAATTGTGTATAGGTTTTCATTAAAAAAGTTCCTTAAAATATATCTGAGTTTGAGAAATCTTCTCGAAATCAGTCCATACAAATCCTTATGTATCGTAACAGAACGTTTTGTAAATTACATAAGAATATACCCTACTTATAGTGGAAGGATCATCGTTCATTTAATTGAGCCTGATTTTGAAAAATATTTAATATTTGTAAAAAAAAAAAAAACTCGTGCTGATTGACACTTTTGCTCCTCACTGTATGTACATATGTAAGTATCAATCAAGAAGGAAAAGAGTAGAGCTACAGTATTGGCAAAGTATATATCTTTTTAATAGATACTTTCAGAAAAAAAAATTTTAAAAGAGCAAAAAACAATTGAAATGAAAATAGCACTATTCCCGATATGATTCATTAGATTCACTGATTAGCAAATGTCCTTGAGGTCTTAACCTTATTTGTTAAAATGATATTTTTGAAATTGATTTGGTAGCACTGCTTAGTTAAAGCATGCGACTTAAGTTTGGCTGTAGAAACGCACGAGAAAAGGGCATGTATGTATATGTATGTGAGTGTGTGTGCAATTAAAGCTGATAAGATTTCTTCGACACAAGAAGTATCACCAACCACCAAATTTTATTGGAAATTTGAAATTAAAAATTATTTAGTCCAATTAAATCGAGCAAAAATTTTTTTTTTTTTTTTTTGATGCAGACATGCATCTAGAGGCTCCATGACATTTCTGCATCAAAAACAAAATTTTTAGAAAAAATGTCGCTTACATCTTTTTGTCGGTTATGGCTCGAAATACTTAAAATCTTGTAATAGCTCTTGGAACCTAAATCGTTCTATTGACACCAGTGAACATGAAGTCAAATTTAGTGGTTTTTTTTCTAAAAATCCATCAGCTGTTACACCTTTAGATATGACCGAGTGTACTCGTATTTACCAAGATACATATGTACATATGTATGTATCGCCTCACACTCACTTGGCCCTGCCGACTTACGACCGTGGTTCTAATTCGCGTCGCAATCATGACGTTGCACTAACTGCCGGTTTAAAGGTACATACATATGCATATTTCGTAACGTGCGATCGAAATCAGCAAATCGATAGTGCAGGGAATAGGCATGTATTTCTATTTACTTATCTCTGTACATACATACATGCTAATTGTATTTACATATGTATGTATATATATAATCATTCCTACTCCAGCTGACTAAAGCGATTACCGGTTCGTATCAGCTAAGTATGTATGTATGTAGCTGCTCACTTGAACATAAATGTGTGTATGTATGTATGTATGCATGTATGTAGACGTGTGTGNATTCCTACTCCAGCTGACTAAAGCGATTACCGGTTCGTATCAGCTAAGTATGTATGTATGTAGCTGCTCACTTGAACATAAATGTGTGTATGTATGTATGTATGCATGTATGTAGACGTATGTATATGAACGACATTGACAGTGACATTGTCGTTCTGGACTTACCCTTGACCAAAAGCATGACTTTGCGTGGCACTTTCAATTTGTTAACCATATCCTGCAGTGATGTTGCACCGATCACATTAGTACCCTTGGCTTCGTTCGCCAAAAATTGGTTGACCTACACACAAGCGCGAATGTGAAAGCAAAGTCAAATGTTGAAAGGTTAATATGTACATAGATACTTTTACTTCAAATAAATATTTAAACAACTCACTCACCTTCTCCACGGTGCGATTGTAGGCGCAAACAACAAATCCATTATCGTTCATATTCAATATGAGATTTTGACCCATAACGGCTAAGCCGATCAATGCAATATCCGCTTTCCTGTAATATAACATCGGCATTAGAGTTTAGTGAACATCAAAGTGTAATAAGGGCATTTTTAAGGGTTAATTGTGATTTTATGGCAAATATGAAATTATAATTTTTAGCTTAAAGTTTTTTTTTAAATGCTGCTTGTTTTCGCATTGTGAAATGGTAAAAGGCGGCTAGCGCGCCATACATACATATGTACAAATGTGTGTTTGTGTGTATATGTATTTGCAGCTGCATATGTATGTATGTATGTAATCTTTTTAGGTATATGGCGTGAGTCGCTCACATATACAAATTTATATAAAACTACTACTAACCAGCTATGTATGTATACACGTACATAGCTGTATACTTACGCTGACATGATTTTTTCGTTGTGATAAAATTTTTTTTGCAAATTTTTACAATATGCGATTTCTACACGTTCGGTTTCCGTTGCCCTGTTCGACGTTTATGACGATCACTACACCTCTTTTTCGCTAAGTTTAATCACCGCTTCCACTTGGGTTTCCACTGCTCTNTTAACCATATCCTGCAGTGATGTTGCACCGATCACATTAGTACCCTTGGCCTCGTTCGCTAAAAATTGGTTGACCTACACACAAGCGCGAATGTGAAAGCAAAGTCAAATGTTGAAAGGTTAATATGTATGTAGATACTTTTACTTCAAATCAATATTTAGACAACTCACTCACCTTCTCCACGGTGCGATTGTAGGCGCAAACAACAAATCCATTATCGTTCATATTCAATATGAGATTTTGACCCATAACGGCTAAGCCGATCAATGCAATATCCGCTTTCCTGTAATAGAAATAACATCGGCATTAGAGTTTAGTGAACATCAAAGTGTAATAAGGGCATTTTTAAGGGTTAATTGTGATTTTATGGCAAATATGAAATTATAATTTTTAGTTTAAAGATTTTTTAAATGCTGCTTGTTTTCGCATTGTGAAATGGTAAAAGGCGGCTAGCGCGCCATACATACATATGTACAAATGTGTGTTTGTGTGTGTATTTGCAGCTGCATATGTATGTATGTATGTAATCTTTTTAGGTATATGGCGTGAGTCGCTCACATATACATATTCATATAAAACTACTACTAACCAGCTATATACATAGCTGCATACTTACGCTGACATGATTTTTTCGTTGTGATAAAATTTTTTTTGCAAATTTCTTTTACAATATGCGATTTCTACACGTTCGGTTTCCGTTGCCCTGTTCCACGTTTATGACGATCACTACACCTCTTTTTCCCTAAGTTTAATCACTGCTTCCACTTGGGTTTCCACTGCTCACTTTCGTTTATGTACCGAACTTGTTGGCAATCGCGCGTTTACTGAACGTTGAAATCGTACGAGTGTTGTGGCGACGTTTCTAAAATTTGCCGACAGAAGTAGTGTGCGCCAGAAAGGAAGTCCAAAAGTGTGGGGCCGATAAGTTTGAGCTTTGTGCATTGGATTTGAGCTTTGACGTTTGGTTGTGCTTTCGGCCCAATTGTTTGTTGATTAGGTTGAAAGTTTCTCAATTGTTGTGTTTAAATGTGTACAGTATGGTGCAAAAATTAGTCAGTGAGTCCGCATAGAAAAACTTTTTCTTCGGTTAATCGAAATATGGTGTGTACCTTCTTATACTACAATTGGTGGGGTGTTGAATAGGGAATTCAAATTTAGTCCATTATAAGTGTAAACAAAGAATTATGGGCATTTAACCCAAAAATATCAGTGGCTCATTTTTGCACTAAGCCAAAATACTTTTGAAAACATGTAAAGGACCAAATTTAACTGGGTAATTTTAGCAAATTTATGTTGTTTGACATTTTGCCATTACATTTAATAACCAGCGATGTTAAATATTCAGTCATCCTTCTTGTTGACGAACTGGGTTTCACGATAAGGTTAACAATTTTTAAGCGGAATTAATTCTATACTCGTTACTGGTTCTTTCACAGTTAAAATTGTTGATCGGGGTTACACCCTTTAAAAAGCTTTTGTTCTAGATTTTGGGTCAAAGCCATATTAAGATATTAATGCACGATTATATATAATATTATGTTGTTGTTGTTGTAACGGCTACTAAGCCCCGCTCGGGTCGGCTTGTCCGTCAACGTTGTTGTAGCGGGAACTATGTAAATCCCGCTCGAGTCGGCTCATCCATCGACGATGTCGTCTTCTTCAGCTGAGGGGAGGCCCAGGAAGTGCGCGACTTCAACGGGATCTGTCCAAAGGGACAGGAGCGTTAGCTGGGTGGGGTTTTGGGGGCATGCGAACAGGTGCCGTGAGTAACGTGGCGATTCTCCGCTTGCCGGACACAGGTTGGGCACATCCTCGTTTATTCTGCTCAGGTATGAGTTTAGCCTGCTGCAATAGCCAGAACAAAGTTGGGCTATTGTGGTGTGTGTCTCCCGAGGCAGACAAAGTTCTGTCCCGCCCACGTCAGGTGGTTGTGTGCCCAGAACGGCATTCACAGGTCGAGAGTCTATATAACTCGAGACCGACTCCCTGTGAATGCCGTTCAGGGGCTGTCTGTATGCAGTTGGGTCCAAAGGTTGTTTGATGAACCTCTGGACTTCGTCCGTCAGTTAGTGGAGGTGCTGCCTTGGCGAGGGCTCTTCTGCAAGCAGTTGTCTGTTCTCGAATGACCACGGAGGCATCCTGTCGGAGTCCGTAGTGCCGTATTCTGGCATGTCTGCAGCTGCGTCCTATTAGTCCTCGGAGAATACAGGGGGGCGCTGCATAGTTTAGAACCGGTCGGTCAATTGCCTTGTATGTTGCCAACAAGTTTTTGTTGTCTTTACCCCAGTTGCTACCGGCTAGCGACTTGATGACCTTGTTGCGGCTCTGTACTCGATTGACAATTGCGGTTGTATACGCCGAGAAGGAGAGCACCCTGTCGAAGGTAACTTCGAGGATTTTTGGATTATTCACCGTCGGAAGTGGTACGTCGTTGACGTAAATACCTAGCCGCGGTCTGACCTCCTTCGTACAGGTGGTAAAAAGGGTTGCCGTGGATTTCGTAGGGGAGTGGTTAAGCTCCTTGCAGTGAAGAAGCGAGAAATCTCGGAGAGGTAACCACTTACTTTCGACCACAAGTCATCAATTCCATACCCAGACGCCATTATCGAGCAGTCGTCAGCATAAGAGACGATCGAGACTCCCCCTGTTGGTTGACGAAGCTTCGATATGTAAAAATTAAAGAGCAACGGGGAAAGGGCACTACCCTGTGGGACACCCTGTTTAATATTCCTCAGTTTGCTGACTGGAGTGGCTGACGGCGTCAAACGCTTTTGACAGATCCAGCTCTACTAGGACTGTTTTCTCACAGGAGCGCTTTCGGTTAAGACCACGAGTTATCTGGGTGTTTATGGCGTTAAGTGCTGTTGTTGTGCTGTGCACTTTACGGAAGCCATGCTGACGCCTCGCTGGGGTCAGGTGATTTGTGTAGTGTTTCAATGTCTTCGCTACCGGGGAAAGGAGGGTTATCGGGCGATAAGACTCTCCCTTGTTGGCTGGTTTCCCCGACGATGATGACAGTTTGCATGGACAGATTGAATACCTTGGTTAAAGAATCTACTCCCGCAGGACCCAATTTTTTCAGCATCAACATGGAGATTCCGTCGGGACCTATGGATTTGGAGGCTTTCGCTTTCCCGACGGCTACCTAAACTTCACCGCCGGTGAAAACCAGAGGCGCACTGTGTGTTGGCAGTTTGTGCAGCCTTCTCGTCACTCGACGCTTGGCTTTGTTCGCCGGAGGGTGCAATGTGAATTATCGGCTAAAATAGTTCGCGCATCGCTCCGGATCCGACGAGGCGTGGTCGCCGAAAGAGATTTCGTCTTTTGTCGTCACGCTTCGTCGGGTTGAACAGCGACCTCATGATTGACCAAAGCTTTCTCACACCAGAGGCGCAGTTGCAAGTCTCCAAATGCTCTTTCCACTTCTTCAGCTTACCTATGTTCACAAGTTGCCGAATCTCCGTGTTGAGATCCCTTATACGGGGATTTCCGGGATAGGCCGGACGAAGGTTGTCACGCTCATCGGCTAGAAAAGCCGCTGCAGCTTGAAATTTCGGACGCGGGTCCAAAATGCATCCGGCTTGAACGAAGGGAGCTGCAGCAGCAGTGACAACCCTGTGGAACTCACGCTCACCTACGTGAACGTCGGTTGGTGTGGGAAGGGCAGAGAAGATGTTTTCAGCTACTTTCACGAAGCCGTTCCAATCAGCTCTAGAAAAGTCGATGTAGGATCTGTGTTCCGCGGAAGCAAAGTCGCCAGGTTTATCAATCGAGATAACTATGGGCAGATGGTCCATCTTTGGAGAATCGAGTTCTGAGTACTTTTGGTATCGATACTGCCCAACACTAATACATAGTATGTACATATGTATGTACGTAGTCTGATTAAGAAGTTGACTACCACAAGAGAGAAATGCTTCTTTCCTGTGAGTAGTCTCTCATGTTCACGTATATCCCAAAGTCGAAGTAATTTTGTAGCAGACCACGTTAGAGCAATAACCTCCACAACGGCGGTACTATCGAAAGCCACTACTTAAATGTCTAATCTATCTAGCTTCGAAAACGTTTTCGATCTTTATATAGGCTTGTTTATTGACTTCCATACACCAGTTACGACTACTGCCGGTCGACATATCACTCTTATGTTAACATGTATATTCAGATACAAATTTCACGGGTTATATTGTATATTTACAACAGTACTTAAAATCTATTGCTAACCAAAGAATATTTTTCAATACTATACATATGTACATATGTATGTACATCCATGTGACTTCATATGTGGGGCAAAATTCGCCATGTGTGCCAGGAAAAAAATGTATGGCAGGATTTTGTTCAAACTCCACCACGTTGTTGCTTTGGCTACTGGTAACCATTGTGTAAATTTTTTTTTTTCTACCGCGGTTTTTTGTCGAGTTAAATGAGTTTTTACATGCAAATTTGAGCCCTTTTTCGTAGTCACAAGTTATCTTAAAATTCTTATCTCATGTCACACTTATGACAGAGAATCAAAAATTGCTGACCTATTAGAACTTTTTCCGTGCTTTTTGGTGAAAACTATAATTTTTTGCTAAAATGTTTTTTTTTTACAAAAAAAATATGCTTTTCCATTTTTGGTTTTTTTTTTCACAAACAGCTTATTTCGATAGCTTATTTTATAAGCTTTCCAACGATATATAACTTGTATTGGGCGTGGCAAAGGGACTACAAGTTTTTCCTAAATTTCTTATCTCAATACACACATTTTTTTTCCTGGTCCACTTGGCGAATTTTGCCCCATATATTTTTTTGTATGTATATTCATATCTACATATAAATCTTAGTCCTCGATTACTTTTTAATTTAGCACCTTATACGGGTTCAAGATGCCATTGGGATCCAAAAGTTGTTTCATCTCACGCATCTTGGCAATGGCAGCTGGGCTTTTACTGTATTTCAGATAGTTCTTTTTTAGAAAACCAATGCCATGCTCAGCGCTAATACTACCCTTAACCTGCGCTGTATACTCGTAGACGAAGGGTTCAATGCATTTATAGATTTCTTGTGTAAACTCTGGACAACAGATATTCAGATGCAAATTGGAATCGCCTGTAAATAGAAGCACTGTTCGGTATTAAGTCCAAAACTTCAAACTTCTAAAGTCTCACCCAAATGTCCATAACCGCAAACGCGTGTTGCCAAACCACCTACACGTTCTTTCATCACATCAACAATATGATAAAACTCACGCAATGGCAAAGAGATGTCATATTTGAAACAGAAGCCATCCTCTACCAGCGCAACCGGCACCAATTCACGTAACTTCCAGATCTCTTGCATTTTACCCACCTCCGCTGTTATAGTGCCATCAATAATGTGTCCTTTCTCCATGCCATTTTCAAGAAAGCGATTAAATTTTTCCATATCATGTTCAGCATTGCTGCCGGAAGTCTCAATTAGCATGTAAAATGGATAGCCTTCGATTGGTGAACTGGATGGGTAAGAGAAAAAAATAAGTTTTTTTTTTTAATGATCTTTGGCAGTAGTTTTATTTTACTTGAGTTTGAAGTGGTTTACACTGGCATCTAAGGAAGCGGCGTCGATCATTTCGCAGGACGAAAGGATTTCACCCAAAAATTGCCTGGAGTGGCGGAAAGTTTTGAGAACATCGTCGAAGGAGGGCACACCTGAAAATTAAAGAAGTAGAAAAGTGTATTTACATACTTACTACTACTTCCCTTTGTTTAAAAAATGTTTATTATTTTTTATGAAAATATTAATTGGATGACTGTTTGACATTATTATTTTTTATGAAAATATTAATTGGATGACTGTTTGACATTAGGAATTAATGACCTCTGCTTAAATGTAAATGGTCACCTCTCCGAACTTTCTCGCTCCTTCACTCCACGTATCCTAACTCTCTCTCAGACGAAATCAGGCTTCAACTAGATAATCACGTGGATGGCACACCAATTCTATTGGCGAACACCCCGAACAATGACGCGGTCCATAGCTATACAGAACAACCGTTGGATCCGACGACGTACAGATAAGCTATCGACGGCAATCATAGAAAGTCCGTATCCACCTTCTGCGTCTCTCGCCCCATGAATGCCGTGATAGGAACCCAATCTCTACCTATTGCAGACAACGGAGCTTCAGCTGTCACGTGAGAACCGCCGTTACTCTTACCCACTGGCTGTCTGAATACTGTAGCCTATCTACCTATCCAGACTGGACTCCGACAAACCCAATGAGTGTCAAAATGTGGAGACTCGCCCCACGACACCAACCACCTCTTCACTGCAAGTTTTTCGACAACGATTTATGGACAACCCAACCGACGTAGGCGGAGCTTAGTATTGCCGCTACAACAATAACAAGAACAAATTTTTGCGGATTCATGCTGAATCCCTCACTGCCACACCACTTTCACACCGGCCTTTGGTTGTACTCATAAGTTCGGAATCAGTATTTATCCCTTTGATATAAGTGTTTGGTCATGGAGTTAGATCCGCTACCAGTTCACACTCTAGGGAACCTATTGCAAATAACCTGCCTAAAGTAAGTCCCAATCCATTTGAAGGTTCTTCCTATTNCGGAGCTTCAGCTGTCACGTGAGAACCGCCGTTACTCTTACCCACTGGCTTTCTGAATACTGTAGCCTATCTACCTATCCAGACTGGACTCCGACAAACCCAATGAGTGTCAAAATGTGGAGACTCGCCCCACGACACAGAGTGAAGTTAACTCTCAATTTTTTTACGCACCGATAATCTATATATGTACAAACATACAAATATGTAAGACTAACCTTCTGTTGTTCACCCCAGCAAGCTCTGTCATTTTATTATCTAACCCTCCAAATACATAATCGCTTACCCAAAAACGCTACATGCTGTGCTTGTGGTTGCGGCGCGCACAACATAGAGACTTTGGTCACTACGCCCAGTGTGCCTTCAGAACCAATGAATAGATGCTTCAAATGGTAGCCTGTATTGTCCTTTTTAAAGTCAGACATGAGATCGAGTATCTCGCCACTAGCTAGAACCTGAAATTGAACTCATTACGAATTTCACAAACTTCTGTAATCAATATTTAAAATACTCACCGCTTCCACTCCCAATACGATGCCATGCAGATTACCATAACGCAATACACGCAACCCTCCAGCATTGGTAGATACATTACCGCCAATGTGACAGCTTGACTTGGCGCCCAAATCGAGCGGCACTACTAATCCCAATTCTCTCGCTTTCAAATCCAAATTCTCCAGTATGCAACCGGCTTCACACGCCGCTATACCAGTGATCTCATCGATGTGTAGAATCTTGTCGAGTCGCGCCAAAGAAATCACAATTTCATCACAAACCGGCACAGAACCACCTACCAAGCCGGTGTTACCACCCTGCGGACAAACCGCCAATTTACGTTCATTGCAGTACTTCAGTATGGCGGATACCTCCTGAGTGGAGCTGGGTCGCAGCACAAGTTGACTATCACCTACATATGTATGTATGTATTTATATTTAAGTGGACATTTTTTTACTAAGTCTGGCATTGAGAGCTTCAACCCCCTCAGCGCCGAACAACTCACCCCGTACACTTCGCAAAAAATCGACATTGTAACCCTGCAAGTCTTCTTGAACCATATGATTCTTGCCAACAATTGACTCGAAGAAAGCCACATCCTTGCCTTCTAAATTGGCATAATTACCGCGCTTCACATTGTGGCGCACCTGAAGTTGGAGAATTTAAAAAGGATAATAGGAATAGCCACGACTGTAAATAAATATGTGAATTAGGGATGTTAATTTTTTTGCGCTTTTTACGATCCCGGGGATTTTCGGGATGTTGTTATCGCAATCCTGGGACGAATCCCGGGATTTAGATATTCATTACATTTCAACAACTTGAATCCAAAAAATTGCTTCTACCTCGCCCTCCATAAAATGAATAATAATAGATGGGTTTGAAACCTACATTTTTATTTAAAGTGGCGTTTTTATTTGTTTTTCTGACGTCAGAATTTATTTTCAAGGACCTTAAAATTTCAAAGATATGATTAATTCCAAAAATTATCTAAAAAATTCAATACAATGTGGAATAAAAATATGGGTAAAATTCAAATTTTTTTGGATTCCCAAGGAAGAACAGGTAATTTTTTAAACTGATAAAGTTAGGACGAAATTCGAGAATGTTATCTAGTTTGTATAAGCTCTTAACATATAATTTTTTCAAAAACAAATATTGCGCAATTTCAAGGATAAAATTTTAAAAGGGCATTTTCAATACTAACCAGTCCTTATGCACCAAAAAATTTAATCTGATTAGATTCCACAGAATTTCCTCTTTAATTTGATACCCATACTTCTTCTCTAAGCACATTTCACTGAATTTTTTAAATCATTTTTAGATTACTGACGTCCGAGTGAAAAACTAAAAACGCAATTTTACTATATTTGGCCTATGGTTTCGCGAATATATTGGTTTTTTTTGTATAAAATTTTCTATCGCACGGTGGTATATGTATAGTGAGCTAGACATTTATTTATATTGGTCAAGAAATGGAGTTTCTATTATTTCCATCAGTGCATATTACGAATCCTGAAAATCCCGGGATTAACATCCCTAATGTGAATACAGACAAAGTCTTAACAAGGGGCAATAAGCCACCCTTAATGAGCTTTCCTTGCATTATTACGCGAGTGAGACGTTGCTTTTGTCTGAATTAGTTTGACTTCGGTATGGTGAAGAATACTTTCACCCCAAAAGAAGGGGTGTCCGCAAAGCAGCATGTGTTAAAATAACAAGGCAACAACAAAAGAATATGTATGCTTATAAGGCGGAGCTGTTCAGATGCATGTGGGCATATCGCATATGTAATTCAAAATTTACGTTTTTGGCGATTTCATCATATAATTAACAAGCTTGATAAGGAGAATATGTATGTTCAGCCTAGCAGATGACTAAACTTCCCAAAAGTGGCGTAGATGTGTGTCTTTCCATCTATCTTTTGGTATACCAACTGAATGAGTTGATCAAAGNATGTATGCTTATAAGGCGGAGCTGTTCAGATGCATGTGGGCATATCGCATATGTAATTCAAAATTTACGTTTTTGGCGATTTCATCATATAATTAACAAGCTTGATAAGGAGAATACATATGTATGTTCAGCCTAGCAGATGACTAAACTTCCCAAAAGTGGCGTAGATGTGTGTCTTTCCATCTATCTTTTGGTATACCAACTGAATGAGTTGATCAAAGTTTGATTGCGTTTTCCCACAAAATTAAAATTTTGAAATAATCTATATCAGGACAATTCTTAATACTCCCGGGGAGTTTGTTCTCCGGCATTTGTTTCTCCCGAGAGAGAAATCTTCCAATAATTAACCCCCAGGGAGTAGCATTTTCCCCGAAAACTTGGGAAAAGCTGTTTGACACTCTTTTGAGAGCTCAACTCCGCCATTTAATATGAAAAATCCTCAGGGAATTTTTTTTCGTAATAGGAGGAAAGGGAAAAGAGAGAAAACTCCCAGGGATTTTCTGTTCAGAATTGGCCTGTATATGTAATACGCGGGATTTTTTGTCCAGGATAAAAGATCTGTACCGCAAATCGGTTTTAGTTTTTCGAAAAGAGTTGCCACCTGTTGAAAAATTAAATTCAAATTATTTAGTTTATTAGTTCGTTCGATTTTCAAAAATGAGGCGTCAAACTAAAAGCCTTGGACTGTATATGTGCAATAAGTTTTTACTTTTTTGAAAAGAGTTGCCACCTGTTGAAAAATTAAATTCAAATTATTTAGTTTATTAGTTCGTTCGATTTTCAAAAATGAGGCGTCAAACTAAAAGCCTTGGACTGTATATGTGCAATAAGTTTTTACTTTTTTGAAAAGAGTTGCCACCTGTTGAAAAATTAAATTCAAATTATTTAGTTTATTAGTTCGTTCGATTTTCAAAAATGAGGCGTCAAACTAAAAGCCTTGGACTGTATATGTGCAATAAGTTTTTACTTTTTTGAAAAGAGTTGCCACCTTTTAAAAAATTATATTCAAATTATTTAAAAAATTAAATCAATTATAACAAACTGGGTATTAATCGAAATGGTTTTGAAAAGCTTTGTTTCATAGCTGAACTATAGGAGGGTTGCCACCTGTTTAACAAATCGTATTAGGTAAGAGAAATGCATATGTATCACCAATAACATATGGGTGCCAAACGAAAGGGGTTTCAGAAATTAATAGTTTATAAATATTTTGAAGAGGGTACCCATAAACGAAAGACACAAGATCACGCGAGAAGGAAAACAAAAAAAAAAGTTATAAAAGTTAGCTGTTGGAATCTCCACGCCATCTTTGTTGTAAGAACAAAGAAAACCGTGTAATTGTTGAACGCATGAATAATCGTTTTTATTATGCAAATTCTTCTATAAATCATGTCCTTGTGTTAAATTATTCTATTCCCTATGTGTACACACGTTGTCACAAGCGAAAATTAAGAAAATTTAATAAAAAAGCTACAACCAAATTGTAAACAACGAACAAATGTAAACAAACGGCTAATGTCAAAATCGCTCTACTTTTTTTCTAAAGGCGATTATAACGGGCTACTCTTCTCGCGTGATCTTGTATTTTTGGTTGAGTAAACTAACCAGAATGTAGTACCACAACCACAAGCTATTTCGCTAGCTACATCAGCAATAATACTCCACAACCACAGCTACACATTCTTATTAGCTAGTAAGAAATCTTTAGTTTAGACATTTCGAATGTAGCGAGTTGCCACGTGTTTAAAAAATTACATTCAAATTATTCAGTTTGACGGGTTTGAAAGTGATTTATTCCTGTCGTCTATTTAGGAGGGTTGCCATTTGTTCAAACAATCAAATTCGAGTTCATCAATTTATTGAAATACATGTGTATCACAATGTCAGACGAAAGAGATTTAAGAAAAATTTGGTTTGAGAATACTTTTGAAAAGGACTTTCTAAAATGAGCGGTCAAATTAGATACCCTAACCAGTAGATGTATGATGTTTTATTTTTTTAATTAAGAATTTTTTCATCGTCATAGGGTGATTTGAAATTCGATGAAAATAAAAAAATGCACTATGCGAGACTGCTCTTCACTCATAAATGGCTCACGGTTTTGATGAAATATGACACTCTGATCTCTTATAACTCTGACTAACATTTGGAATGTTTTTTAAGTTTGTGAAATTAAATTTTGGGGGTTTTTTCTTTATAAGGAGCAAACGGTTAGATGCATTTTTTTTTCAAATGTCGAAAATCAAAAGTTCCAGGCGTTTAATAATGTACAGAACTAGTGAAGTAAACAAATTTTAACTAAGTTTTCAAGCTTGGTAATTTAAATGAAGAATAATGAACAAGTTATTTTTAAGAAAGAAGTAATTTTTAATTACGAAAAAGCATCTGTGAAGTGCACAACGACACATATAAAAATGTGTACACCCAAATTTATTACTGGTTGGGTTGATGCTCTCTCATATGGATATTTTTTTTTAGATTTAGCGCGTTTTTTTAATTCAAAATTTTTTCCCCTCAGTGCAAGAGAATTTTTCGAAGTCAAATTTAAGTACCCGTTATGTATGTGAGTGTCCGGATACTAGGTCGTTTATGCGGTTTTAACTTGAGAATGCATTAATTTTATGGTAAGAATATATCGCTTTTGAAATACGATGTTGAAATACCATCAAGCGTTCTTTAAACCGGACAAAAGCAATCTTGAATGTAAAATTTTCGGTTTTAAAAAATCTTGAAATAAGAATTTTATAGCTAATCCACTTAAACCGTTAAATGCAAGTATTACAGCAAAATAATTTTTACAAACCTGTGTTAATTCCGGAATGCCAGAAGCTTTGTACGTTCTAAAAAACGATTTCACGACGTTTGATGATCGCAGTTTAAGAAGTCCATTTACCGACATTTTCTAAATCGAGAAAAACAATTTTATTTGCATGTGGTTGTGTTATTTACGTCCATTTTCTATAGGTACATACAAGTTTTCTCAACAATCGGATGGGGCGTATCTTAAAATTTACCCCACCTCGTTAAAAATTGCAAAACGAAGACAAAACGGTATAAAATGAATGAGAAAGCTATTGAACCATTTTGCAGAGAGCTGGCATTTCTCTCTGATGTCTACCAACTCTTTAAGAGTAAAAACGCGCAGTGCAGTTCTCTTTCAAATACCAAACGAAAATACAAAAAGAAATGTCAAAAACAAAATCCATTGTAAAATCCACAAAAACTGCAGCCAAGTTCGCGCATTTTTGCATTGGACGTCGTTTGTTGACATTTCGTTTTTTTCTTTGTGCGCTACTTCGTCTAATTGTAATTTCGTAAAATTTTTTCTTTTGTTAAAAAGTGCTATTGAACATAAATGGAAAATCCAAAGTGCAAACATTCTTAAAAAATATGCATTTTGCGCGATCGTTTGATGTTGAAAGAAACTAGTAAGGTGCTGAAATAGAATTTATTGAGACGTGCAAATTGTTTGGATTTTCAGAGGACGCGCTGCTTTGTATGTGTGTATTCGAGCGTCTAATCGCCTGCAACGCTAGTTCTTTCCCGATTTTCATGACTTTGTGTGCATTTAAATACAAAAAAATTGCAGCGATTTTCATGCAGGTTTAATTTAATCAGAACAAAGTTTTAAACTGTTAATAAAATTTCGTGCCCTTCGATTTCGAGAACCTGAAAATCGGCGCACAATTGTGAGACATTTTGCTATGTGGTAAGTAAACTTAACTTGACTTAATTTATGTCGGGTGTCTGACCGAGTGGCAGGCCATCAAATTCTGCGGCAGGTAAACAAGCAACAGTTGTGGACTTCTATGGTGGTTGTGACATTGCGGCTATGTTGAAATTTTATTAGGATCGGACAGCCATTTATGTACATATGTATGTATGTACTGATGTATGGAGGCGCTACGATAGACATGACCAAAAGTGATTTTTTATTTTAATACTCTTGGTAAATTGGTTATGCACTTGTGGCGATAGTATGCATCCCAATAGGTGGCTTGGCTGGACTCACGGAAATACTACAATTTAACTGAAATGAAATGATAACAGCAAGTGGATTTGAATGAATGTCGAATTACATTATGGGACAATGTATTAAATAGTTTTATAACATTAATTGGGTCATATCTAAGAAATGCTTTGCTTAAAATGAGATTAATCTAATATATATGTATTTTATAAAATATTCTAAATATGCCGGCGTTAATATAGAGAAGTTCTAAAAAATCGCCGCCGGCTTGAGGGTCTCGTAATCGGCCCTATCGCGAATTTTACGTGAACAAATATTCCCAAAAATTGTAAAGCAAACAGATATATTTTTTTTTTTTTAATTTGTTTTTGTTTTGCAAGTTTAATTATGGAAAAGATTTATTCACATTGGAATTGGCGCAATGTTTCCGGTTATGTATGTACATGTGGACACCAGCCGAATAACTGTAATCAAAAAAATCTTAATGTAAATGTCATATTCCAACCCTATTAGGTTTATTTGAGGATGAATACACCTTCGGCTCCAGTGCCTGTGTAAAATATTCGGAGAAATTTTTCATCTAGTCTGGGACGTGGGTCTGATATCTACAGGTGTCGATTAAGGCCACTCGTTCGAGCCATGGGTTAAAGCGGTAATATAGCTTAGAGAAACAGCCATTTCGAAATAAGTAAACTCGAAATTAGGCCAAAATCGCATTTTGAGGTTAAGTTATTTAAAATTTGTTTTCGGGCAATTCTCACGACAAGGCCGAATATGTTGTCACAGGTACCTATTTCGGACTGAAATGCAGTAATGTTTAGATAAAAATTTGATTTAATATCACCGACAATTTTTCTTTTTGAAGCATTTAGTAGCGAATTGTAAATTTTTTGAAATCTTATGTTATCAACTGCGACACTTCAGCGTAGATAATGTACGTAGTAGTATTGTCCATTTTATGCAATAAGTAAACGTCCACAAGAGTGATAAGTAATGTACATCACACATTCTAATATTCGCACATTCAGTTAATTTTTAGCAATGCACATTTCTCTTCTACATACATACATATGAAATCAAAAGAATATTTAATTGAGCAATAAATGGTATATGGCTGCAGTTTTCTTTTACAGCTTTATCAACGCGGTTTTTGTTTGCACTTTTTTCGCATACATTTACCCAACCCGATTTACGCGTAAACAAACAATGGCGAAACGTCAAATACCAATTTGTCGGCAAAAAAACACATTTAAACAAATATTTAACAAGTGTTGAGAACCTATTAAAATGTCTTAGCATTAAAATTTTTTCACAAATCTTATTAATTCATACTTACTATCACTTTGTATCAAAAATATCACAATAAAACAAAATCTCACTGCAAATTTTATTCAAAGTCAAATAACACAATGTCAATGCATTTGTTCAACTACAGAAAAACTTGCACATTCCCCAAGAAATTCGTTTGCCTCTTTTTGATAGCGTCTGATAGTAGAAGCGATTAAATAATTATGAGAGCTCGTGCAAACAACAACGACAACCACATTTAAGCCCCATGGTGGGACTAACACCAGAGCAAAGCAATAAGATTAGGTACGTGCAGCGTTGCCATACGGGAAATGTCAAATAAAATTTTAAAGGGTTTAGTAATTTTGGATAAAAGGTAAAAAAATCAATCGAATTAACGGAATCGGTGTCAGTTTAAGAGACTGTCAAATGAAAAGGTTTAATTTTTTTCTTAAATTTGTTTGTTTTCAATCCCCAATTCTATTATCTATGTATAATATTCCAAAAAGTTGAAAAAGGTACTGATTTTTGTATACATAGTCATATTTATGTACATATGTCACCGAGCATAGATATACCTTTCGCTTTGTTTATTTGCTCGGGTTTTTAAATTTTCCGAGTTTGAAAAAATTTTCTGATCGCCAAAACTCGGATTGCAAGGGCTACGGTTACTTTGGATTTGTGTGCATTCTATATTTTTTCTGATGAATTCTGGCCAGTTGGTCGAAACAAATAAAAGCCTGTTGTTTTACACTTGACTTGACTTCGCCGTAACATTCTATTTGATGTACCTGACTGAGCACATTATATTTGATGCGTCATAAAATTTTATTTTTTCAAAGTCCCTGTCCCTGAAAATAGTTGTATATCGAAACTTTTTTAATTTGGGTGTGAGTCTTGGGAAGTATATTCTTGTACTCTAGCATGTTTTTGATTGGTATCTATGTACAGATGTACATATTGTATGTAAGTATCGAAATATGTAACTGCACTAAAACTTTTGAATTTTTCTAAATCGAAATATATTCGAAAAAAATTAACACCGAAATTTAGGAAAATAAGAAGATTTTAAATGCTTTATAAATCAAAAATTTTTATGAGAATTTCACTTTATAAAACTTAAGATTAACTTAGTTTGCATTTACAAAGGACGGAGAATGCAATCCTTTGTTGCGAAAATGGTAGTAGCAAAGTGCGCAAAATAGGCCATTAGTAGTGAAATTCCGTTTGTAAATGTGTTTGCAGAAAATATGACATTTTAAACGAAATACTGAACGATATATTAAGATATATACTTGAATTCTGTATTTTATGTGCTATTAGCGGTATAAACTCTGAAAAAGGGCTCAAAATTAAAATAAAACTGCTATGGGTTTCATGTAAACATCCAATTTAAAAGCAATTTATGTTTTCATCAGTTACATGTGGTTTATATGCATATACAAATAAATATTTTGCACAAAAACGTATGCTGCTATTTCACACGTAAGCTACATTTTTTCAAGTAAATTTGCAATGAAGCAATACGGTGCCACTGCTAAGGGAGCGGTGCGAGAGAGACAACTGTCAGTTCACAGAACCGTTAATTATTGAATCATGCTTTTAGAGCGTTCCAGAACGTCTATGATTTGCAGGTTTTGCAGGATTTAATCCAAAGTTGTTCCCGTACGCCACGTTCACATAAGGTTTATTAAAGGCGAAAACAGCTGTTCCTGTAAAACCTGCAAATCGTAGAGTACGGGAGCAGGCTATTTGACTTGCGTGTATATTATATTTTCTACACTGGCATTTGGGGTATTCACAACAGTGTGTGTAGAAATGATAAGACGATTGGCGTAGATTGACGCTTGTAGTTGGTGTTTTATTTAAAATAAGTTGCAATGTAAAATGTTTAAATATTTGATTTTCTACTTGGCACGCTTAATTGCGCGCGTTTCAACACTGTATTTGGTCTGGCACGTCTGCTCTCGTCGATATTTTCTTCGCCAATGATGGTAAGATGATTTTCCAGAATATTCGGTAGTGACGAGGAAATTTACAGCACGGTGAAAAGCAATGGTGGCGCCATCAGGGATACCGCTACTTTGGTTTTTGCCGATTTGTATTCTATCATTCTGAATTTTGACGTATGTATGTATATGAATTAGAATGTAGGAATGTCACAGGGTGACTAACACCCCACCCCCCGTGAATCTCCCTGAGATTCACCGTTTAACATGAGTCGGGCTAGACGTGTGGCTGGACGACGCAGTACTCCTCCGCTTGTTTTAACTTCTGCCATGCGCACTTGACCATCTTTCGTCGGGAATACCTCGGTGATACGACCTCTCCGCCATTGACTGCGTGGTAGAGTGGGTTCGCAAACCAAGACTAGGTCGTTTACTCGCAGGGGAACNCTTTTAGAGCGTTCCAGAACGTCTATGATTTGCAGGTTTTGCAGGATTTAATCCAAAGTTGTTCCCGTACGCCACGTTCACATAAGGTTTATTAAAGGCGAAAACAGCTGTTCCTGTAAAACCTGCAAATCGTAGAGTACGGGAGCAGGCTATTTGACTTGCGTGTATATTATATTTTCTACACTGGCATTTGGGGTATTCACAACAGTGTGTGTAGAAATGATAAGACGATTGGCGTAGATTGACGCTTGTAGTTGGTGT